CCTGCATTGATACCACTGTGCGTTATCGCTCATGTATTCCCGTGCAGAACCTGAAGACTGACCCTGTATTTGACGCATTGGATAAGATATTCCGCCGCTACAACAAGGCAGGCTTTCAAGTCAAGATCATCAAGTGTGATCGGGCATTCATTCCTCTTACGGATGATATGCTAGACGATATGGGTGTTACTATTGACCCGACTGCAGCTGGAGACCACGAGCCTACAGCTGAGCGAAACAATTGGACGCTGAAAGAGAGAGTCAGAGTAGCTCTTGCACGATTACCCTACAAAGTGGTACCAAAAGTGATCACTGAATGTCTTGGACGTCGAGCCGCCGAGTTATTGAATGTCTTTCCCCAGAAAGACAGTATTTCTTCACTTTCAGTCCGCAGCAACTCATTGATAATGTTAATATCAACTACAAGAGTGACATGGTTGCTGAGCTTGGACAGTATGTTCATGCAATTGGGACGGATTCCAACAATTCGATGGAACCGCGAAGTATTGAAGCAATCTACATTGAACCTACCAAGGGACAACGTACAGGGCACCAAGTGCTCAACCTGAATACTAAGAAGATGATTTCTTGACCCAAGGTTGTCGTACTGCCCGTTACCGATCAAGTAATCCAGCGTGTTGAAGCTTGGGCTGCTGCCGAAGGTGTTACTTCCATGAAGTTCTTTGATAAGAAGAGAGATTTGGAGACTTTCAAGATGGCGATCAAATTGCAGGAGTGGATGACACGGAACAAGGTTACTTAGAGGAAGCCTTTGATCAGGACTATGAACCTGAAGATGAAGATGAACGTGATTTCAACCTACGTGGACAATTCGATGATATCGATGACTCCAAAAGAAATGAGCTCTTGGCAGATGCAGACAATGATGTCGATGATATGCCGGAACTCACTGTCAGATTCCAAGGGGATGATGACTATGAATCAGATGACGACGATTCGGGTGATGAAGGCGATGAAGAGGAAGAACCTATTGTGGCCGATTTGGATCACCATCAAGAAAATGTCGATAGAGGAACCGATGATATTGGGAGCCTCGTTACTGATCTGGAGGATCTACAAGAACTGCCAGAAGAAGAGATTGTATTTGAGCCTGAAACGCCTCAAGTAGCAAAAGTCACTCGATCTGGGCAAACGTATGCGCAAGCTTGGCAGAGGTTGTTGTTGACGACCAATGGTCATCGCTCGGGAGTGCAGGATTTTTGGCAAGGCATGGAATTAGCCAAAAAAATTGGCACATCTTCGGCCAGTCATCATTATTGCCAACAATATTCTAGGACAACCTAGCCGATAACTACAGTAATAAGAGAATATATTCAAAGCTACGTTGGTTAATTCGTCTTTCATCATAGGTAGTAGTCATCTGATCACTTGAAGTTGCATTTTGGGGGGATATCCCATACGGGGATATCTGACCCCCGATCGGTTAAAATCCTTCAACGTCCATCCGTCACACGGTACAACATCAATTCCTCCCCTAACGTCATCTACAAAATTAGGAGTTTGGACCTCAATACTGTACTGTAGCGATGGAAGTATTGGCAAAGGACAAGTCAGATTCTCCTTTATTGCTGTCGAATGCAGAAGTAGCTCAGTTATTGGAGGACCGGTCAAAAAGCCGTAATGAAAAAAGTCGAAAGAAGATCAAATATAAGCATCGGGATTGGATTGAAATTAAAGTTTTGGAATACCTGAAAACGACGCCATGCGTCGACTTGGATAAAGAAAGCCTTGATATTTTTCAGAGCACATTAATGAGTTCCAAGAAGTTGAAGTCATCTGGGAATACGGCTAGCGAAACAGGATTTGGACTGACTGAAGCTGAAGCACTGCAAGTGCTTAACTTCATGCCAAAAGAAAAAGTAGAGATTCATCTAATGGTTGAGGAGTTGCACACTAGAATGACAGATGATAGGCAAGACGAACTTTTGCAATACATCGAGTCTAAGCGCACTGGAAAAGATAGTTGACAACACCAAGGTAGCGACTCTCACTCCTCAGAATGTCTCTGAGAACAACTCAAGCTTCATTCTTGTGCAAGCACAAAGTGAAGGATGAAATATCAGTCTTCAATACTCCTAGGAGTGGCCACAATACCGTATGACGGTCCCTCACAAGTACTGGTTGTATTCCTGGTACTGTACAGTACCATACAACTTCAACTTACCATTGGCATGGTTAGTTGAGGATTCTAATTCGACTAATCGGACCCAAAAGCAACACATCATTTCGAAATAATTTCGTGGTGACGTTTTTCATTTTTCGCGAGCCTTCACCTTCTACTATCGTATATCCATCCTTCTTTGATATTTTGTAGTAATCATGCTGAAAGAGCTTCGATTCCTTTCTTTCTGTTTGGTTGTAGTTCAGACACTGTCCTTTGCTCCGAAACAAGTTCCCACTCTACACGGTAGCGAGTCGTTGTTCTCGACAACCCAAAATGATGTTATTTCTTTCAATTTTGAGAAACCTCTCGGTATGATTCTTGAGGAAGTAGTAGAGGGTGAGCCAATGGGGGTCTATGTTATTGAACTAGCAGATGAGGGTAGTGCGACGTCATTTCCCGAAATCGTTGGACTACAGTTAGAAACCGTGATGAACGAAGACGTCAGCAACTTGTTATTTGATGACGTGATGGCAAAGCTGGTCGATGCACCATCTCCTGTCTCCATTTCATTCCTGAAGAAGAACGGAAATGCCGATGCTTTGAGCGTTGGCACGCCTGTCACAATCAATGTGATTGATGGGGACAAGGAGGTAACTATTGAAGCGAAGGTTGGCGACAACTTGAGGCAAGTCCTCCTTGACAACGATTTTGAAGTCTACAAGGGTCTGAAGCAAAAGCTTGGGAATTGTGGCGGCGCGGGTCAATGTGGCTTCTGTGCTGTTGGAGTAGATGGAGCTTGGGAGCCTCGTTCCGAATATGAAGACAAAAAGTTGAAGAATTCACCCGAGTCTCGTCTGTCGTGCTTGAACAACATTCAGGGTCCTGCAAACATCAAGCTTTAGCCATACAAATTGGATTTGATTTTATAGCTTCATTGTCTCGCCATGATAAGTCAGACGTTGTCGATCAGTGAGAGGTATTAGGACCTTGCGCAAGCGAGGTTCGCTGTCCTTTTGTTGAATGGAAGCCGACTTGATGTGTGACTTTAGTACAAGAAGCTTCTCTCTTGTGCAATGTAATTGCTGCGATAACTCTTTTGACGTTTTGTGAAGCTGCGACGTTGCTTTCATAGCGTTGTTTGCACAGGACCACTTTCGGAACGCGCCTGCTACTCCCATCCTCGTTTTCTGTTCGACTACACGCGAAAGAAGCCTGGCTCCCATCATTCGTTTGTTTCCTTTGAGATTGAGTGGGGGTTTACTTGAAGTCTCCAGGGCCCTCGCCAGTAATAATTCGTTGTTATGAAGAGTGCCCTCGTCACAAGGCGCATCCCGACTTGGTGCAATTCCTGCGCAGCTGCTGTCACCATTTTTGAAATCAAGATTCGGTGGCGCTGTTTGTTTCTGAGAACGCAGTTCTTGCTCTTCTGGCTTTGTTCTTTCGATTGAATTCGTCCATGAAGGCGTGTACGAGCCTTCTACACCAATGGCGATGCTAGGAGCGTCTTTATCCTTCCAAGAGAAGATTTGTCGATTTGTCACGCTTTGCCGACGAAGTCCCACCATCGCAGCTTCAGCAATACACCTATCGTTCCATAAACGATTTTTCTCCATTTCTAGCATCTCAACCTTTTGCCTAAGTTCAGTATCAGTAGCTTCCAGTTGGATTTTTGCCTCGTTTAATTCCCAGAGTGCATTTTCTTTCTCTTCCTCCACTTTTGTGATCACAATCGCCTTACTTTTCAATTCAGATTCTTGAACCTTTTGTTGTTTGTTCAAAGACAAAACCATTTCTTCACTTCTGTTTAGATGTTTGCGTAGAGACTTGTTCATCTGATATAGGCTTGTGATTTCAGCCTCGCTCTCGCTATATTTCTTTGATATTGCTTGTAGTTTGGAATTGAGAGATTCTGCCTTGGATCGCCACCCATTTGATTCTCTCTGATGCATTTTTGTCTCAGCAACGAGATCCTCCACCCTATTCTCTAAAATTCTTATGCAACCCTCATCTGTTAACTTCTCTGAATTCAGTTTTTCAAAAGTTCTTTTCAGACTGTCCAATTGCACTTTATTTCTTTGTGTCTCGTTATGTGCCTCCTTCTTTGCTTCTGCAAGCGTAGTTAGAATCGAAACTTTCTCACGCCTGAGGTTCTCAAGAAGTATCGTCGTGTCTTCGATTTCATTGATATGATCTTCTTGAAGATTTTCAAAGGCTCCCTTCAGCATCAATACATCTTCTGCTAGCTCAAAAATGGTTGCTGACAATCGCTCCTTTTCCCCTTCGAAGGTTTCTAGGTTGCCAAATATTTTGTCTTCATCCTCATCGATACAACTCTGTAGTGAGTGGATTTCTCTTGTCTTCAAATCGCATTCTTCTCGGCAAAATCGAAGTCGCTCTTCTAAGTCTTTTATTTTGTCTTCAAATGCTTGGGCCTTCATTTTAAGCCCCTCATTTTCATTTTTGTGTGCTGAAAACGATCTACGAAGATCTGCTTCGGTGAGAAAAAGCTTTGATTGAGTACAATCCAGCTGCCTCTGAAGCTCTGAAATGGTTGTCTTTGTGTCATCAGACCTGGCGTGGTCCTTTCTAGATCGAAAGTATTCTGAGATGGAGGCAGCCATTTGCGAGCAGACTGTTCTTCTAAGTTCATGTACATTTTCCTGAAGGAGACAATTCTCGAGTTCGTAGTTTCCTTCAATGCACTTCAGTTCATCTTCGATCTTAGACATTTGGTCCGCTAACAACCCAATCTGGGTGTTCTTCAGCGCTACATCTTCTGCAGTCTTCGAAGAAAGTCGTTTCATACCTTCCATTGCAGCCAAGGAGGCACAATACATGAACTGTGCTTTTCTAACCGTTGATCGTAAGCGACGATCTTCTTCTCCATTTTGAGCTTCTAAAATCTGCGACTGTAAATCATCTCTTTCTGATGTTGCGTTGGAAAGCATATCCTGTGCAAGTTGCAGACTAGCTCTAGTAGCAAGGTGCTGGGTCCTAGAAGAATCAAGAGCGCATTCCAATGTTTCAATTTCACGCTTTAAACCGTGTGCCTCTGCAGTCCTTGTGCGTTCAAGCTGTATTAGATCTTTCTCAAGGCTTCGACTCTCTCTTTGGATCTTTTGAATCTTGCCTTGTGATGATGACACCTCTTGCTCCAGTTCTCTGATATCTCCCGTTTTCTCTTCGATGGCCGCATCCAGAGCTTTGTTCCTATGCAAAAGAAGCTGGTTCTTGGTGTCGCTCATACCCACATATGCAAGGAAAATAACCAGCAGCTCGGAGTTCTTCTGCTCCATAGACTCAAGTGTCTGCGTAGTCTCCAGAAACTGATCTCCCAGAGCATGACGCAGATCTCTCTCGCTTGAGACCTCAATAAGCAGCTGCTGAATGGTTCGCTCCAATTTCGGTGATTCTTGTCTTCGGTGCTTCTCACTTTTGTTTAACAAGTCTATAAAGTCCGATTCAAGCAACGAGTTATTTGCTTGAGCTTCACTCAGCTCTGCTTCGCAAATTTTGAGCTGGTCCTTTAGAATGCTTGCCTTCTGTTGCAGCTCTTCCTTCTCCAGCACAACCTTCTTCATGTCTTCTGATACACTAGTCATTGTTTTAAGTTTTGCCTCGAGAGCGGCGTTTTGAGATTCGAATGAGTTACAAGTCCTACGAAGTTTGCAAATGCTCTCAGTTGATTCTGTCAATCTTTCCTCAAGGACCAAAATATTTTCGCACAGTCCTATATGTTCTGAAGAAACCAAATCTTCAATTTCTTTGAGTGCATTGATTCTAGCCTCTGCGGACGCTAGTTTTGCATCTTTTGTCGCAACATCATCTTCGAGTTTCTTAATAACTTCGACGGCCTCTGACAACGCTTCTTCGGAGTCTTGAAGAGATGCGTTCATATCTGCTTTATCTTGCTCCGCAACTCTCAGCTTCATTGAAGTGCGAGCAAGTTTCTCCATTGTAACGTCAAGCTTGGTCTTCAGTTCGTTTTCAGAATGCCTTGCAGCCTGGAGGTCAACTTGATACGGATGAATCTTTTGCTCGAGTTGTGAAGTACACTGCGCCAGATTCCATTCCATTTTAGACAAAGAAACCTGTAGTACTTCTGTGTTTCTTCGCATTATTGACACCAGATGGTGTGTGGTCACTGATTGTTGATCGATGCAGACTCCAACCTTCAACAATTGCTTGAAATGTCCATCTCGATCTTTGTTCTGACTGTGTGTGACACTATGAATGGCCGTCTTCATTTCTCGTCTCAGAGCCAACAATTGCTTTGTCCGATTTTCAAGCGCAGCATCTTTCAATATTACCCTTTCCTGTGACTTTTGGAGAGCAAGCAACAGCTCTTGATTGAATACGTCCAACTGTTCTAATTGTTCTAAATGCTGGGCACCTCGATATTCAAGATTCTTTTCCCGTATCATGAAGACCGCCATGGCGCACCGAGAGACTCGATACCGAGCGGTCATGTCCTTCATCTTTTCTGTCACAGTCAAAGAAGTCTCCAAGTTACTGCATTCGGTGTCACCACCAACAAAATCTACATGGAGACAGCTAGCTCCGTTCTCGAGATTATGCAAAAGATTTTCGTGGATGGTCGCAATTTCGTTCTTGGACTCAGCAAGTTCTGTCTTTGCGCGATCCCGTTCCCACCTGATTTCTTCAATCTCGTCTTGAAGAGCCTTCACTCCAGCGTCCAAAGTGTTCATGTGAGCAAACATATTTTCACCTTCTTCTTTCAGCTTGGAAACAAGTGATTGGGTTGTATTCAGCTTTTCTTCCTTTTCCAGAAGATCCCCTTCCAAGGCTTCCACTGATTTCTCAGACAAAGCCTCGACATCAAGCACCCGCCTTTCCATTTCTTTCGTCATGGTTCTCGACATTTCTAACTCCAAGAGCAGACCCTTCTCGTTTGTTCGCAATGTCTCCAGCTCCACCTGCAGCGAGCGAATACGTTCTTGATACTGTCCATTTTGGTGCTTCAATTGTTCTGCCTCATTGCGCTTGCTTTCTAGTTTACCCATTGTACGGTGCAACGTCTCTTGAACGGTGGAGAGTTGTAGATGCCCTCGTGAATTGTGTGGCCGTTCTTTCAGCTTTAAATTCTCTGATTCTAATTCCAAAATTTTGGATTGTTGACATCTACATTTGTTTGCATACATCTCCTTCAGTTCCTTTTCAGTGTTAGCCTATGGACCAGAAAGCACACATCCGTTAGAATCCAGTACATCAAGTCATAAATCACACCATTTTTTCACACTTACATGTTGAGCCTTAGCACTTTGAAGCTTTTCGTTGAAATCAACGTGTAACAAATGATATTCCTCGTTCTTCTCTTTCAGGATTGCTTCTAGTTCCTGTGTTGCGATATCTTCTACATCCTTTGCAATCTTCGCGCAATTGAGTTCCTGTAGTACCTTTGCCTTGATGCCGTCCATCTCTTCCATCTCACTAGATGATAAATCGATGGATTGTATACTGGCAATTTTCTGTATCGAATCTGTTGAAGGATCCTGCCATAAATTGTGTATTGCGGATGAGTTCGCCACCATCTGTGGTACACTTTGACACAGGCGCCCGAACACACGAGACATAATTGTATTTTCAGCGCTTCCATTACTTATTTCTGCCACAGATAATCTCCGAACACTTGATGGAGAGAATTGAGGCAAAATCTTCGTTTCCTTCGAACCAGCAGTGCAAGGGGATAATATTGGATCATTTGCATCACGGTGTTTCTTTTGCTGCCACCCTGGTGGCATTTTGAAAACAGAAACATTTTGCGCGGGGCCTTCGCCAGTAATGTTAGGGGGTGTCAGGAAATTCGAGTTCCGCCGTGACGAATTCCTGGGTACTGATCCTTTTGTAATCGATGGTAATAGCGGTTGCGTTGCGAAATTATCTTCCATTTCTACAGTCGTCGGACCATCTTGGTTTTCTGGATGCTGCTGTCTTTGAGTTTTGGGAAGCGATGAAGGAATCTGAACATGAGACCATAGTGCCGCATGTGAAGGAGGAGTTCTGACGTGAGGCAATAAAGCTGCATGTGAAGGTGATTGGATCAATGTGATATCAAATCTCGAATCATGATCTAGTTCCTCTTTCTGCTGTCGGTTGCTATTAGATCCGGGCAAAGGCGGCGGTAAGTGGGTCTCAAATTTGAGTGATTTTCCCAAGGGGGTTGAGATTTTTCGCTTCGCCGATAAATTGTGTGCATTCGGAGTCAATGGTCGTTCTAGGTTCTTGTTCGGCTTGCTTGTATTCACCCGGCTTGACTTTGAATGATAGTCAAGCATAGCTGAAGTCCACACTGATCGGAATGATACTCTTCTTGTGGCGCAAGAATCCTTAAGAATCTCAACAATATCAGCGTAAGAGGATCCAACGACTGCATTTGCCTCGACTTGTGTAATTAGGTCGCCGAGCTTCAGCTTTCCAGATTTTCTGGCTTGCCCTGGATTCTTCGGACCACCATCCACAAATCGAACTATCCGACAACCCGTACAAGGATCTTCCTGGTTTGGTTCTAGCTGTAAGCCGACTGGGCCAGGGGAGAAAACAACTACTTCATCTGATGGCGATGAACTGACACTGTTAGTCTTCCTATCTTTTGATTTCGAGCTACTCACTGCTCGCCTAACTCTCACTATTTTCTTCGGAGTCGACCCTCCATCCTTGCTATTGCTAGCTATGTTGGCCGAAAGCTTCACACCAAATCTCCGATTCGCAGTCTTTTGTGGCTGCAAAATCCAAAACAACAACGAAGTGAGGCTCTATTCGTACGGTATTAACTCGATTGAATTTGTTTGGGCTTACAGTCCTTTTTTCTGTTGTGGTGTTTTCATTCTCTCCAATATGGAAACGTGACTCTATCATGTTTGATCTTGTTGTTGAGCTGCAGTGTCAGTCAACGATGTTTGTTTCATTATTGTTCGGTCACCGAAGGAGCCTGCATGCGAAATTCAAATTCAAAACTAAAAGAACTATTAGAGTACTATCCAGACAAGAATTCGAACGAAGACAAACGCCTTCCTACCGTACTACGGTACATTTGCAATCAGTGTTCACATTCCAAATTTCCCGTGCTGAAGTGCAATAATACCCGTATCTACCTTGTCTCAAAGTACATGTAGGGAAGAACAATGGTGGTGAATAGGTTCCATGTCATCTTTGATCTATTTCTTCTTTTTTCTATCGCAGAAAGCTTCCTAACTCCCAATGCTCTCATTAGGAAAGTAGATGACATGTCAAGCCGTTTGAAGGTTCAGCATGCAAAATCTGGAGGACGGGCTGCAGGATCCGAGGACAAAATCACATCCTCTGAAGAATGGCAAGCAACTCCATGTAAACCAGGCGAAGCCCGCTTGACAATCATTCAAATTACAGACACATATACTCTTGAGCACTTGGCGTCAGTCAAAACCCTTCTTGCCGATACCAGGGAAAAATCACAAGGGTCGAAGGTCATTTCCATGATGACAGGAGATTTCCTTGCACCATACCTACTCTCTTCTGTTGATCGTGGAAGGGGAATGATGAGAGCCCTTTCCAAGATTCCAATCGATTATCTCACCTGGGGAAATCATGAAGCCGACATCGCGCATAAAACGGTGTGTAAACATGTTCGCGATTTCCCAGGTGTTTGGTTGAACAGCAATATGCTTGATCATGAGGCTATGGATGCGCAGCAAGAGTTCGAAGTTATAGATATATGTTCCCCTGATGGTACCAACAGTCGCAAGATTGGCTTGATAGCTGTGCTCTCAGATGACCCTGGATTATACTCTCACTTCAAGGCGCCAGGGGCCTTTGGTGGTGCGACAATAGACGATCCTTGGATGACTTTAAAAAGACTGCAGGAAAAGCTACATGGGCCGGAATATAATGTCGACACGATAGTTCCACTGCAGCACACCTATGTCCCCGATGATCACAAGACTTGCCGCGAGTTTGACTTTCCAGTAGTACTTAGTGGCCATGATCACCATCGTGTCGACGAAGTTGTGGAAGGAACACGATTGCTAAAGCCTGGCATGGTAAGAAAGAATTTGAGCGTAACCTGGTACTGTGTGTTCTCGGATTTGACTGACGACTTTTGCGCTTTCCTTGCATGTCGGAAACCTTTTTCCCAGGATTCGGTGTATGCCACTATTCTTGAACTTGTCTGGCCCGATGGAGATACCGAAGGAAAGAAACCAAAGATCAACGCTTCTTTCGTCAAGACGAGCAATTGGGAACCTGACCCTGCACTAGCGGAAGAAAACGAGAGAGCATATGATGCTTTGGCACCGCTACGAAACACAGAGCTGGCACGTGTCCCTCCACCATTCGAGCCGCTATCTTCCGTGAATAGCCGTGGAAAAGTTTGTACAATGGTAGGTGGAACAAACAAAAATGCAAGATTGCTTATATATGTCTACTAATCGATTCCTTGACACATCAGGGAATTTACATTTGCACGCTGCTGAGATCTTCGCTGAATTCGTCACGTCGGCAACGCAAGCACGACATTGACGCTGTGGTTTTGATGGGTGGCAATATTCGTGGAGGACAAGATTACGAGCTGGGATCTTTCTTTTCTTTGGAAGCGCTGGAAGCAGAGGTAAAGGGCGATGAGGTGATTGCTGTTGTTCCGATGCCTGGATGGTTGTTGGCGGAGGGAGTAGCAGCAACACATGCTGGAGACCCAATACCGGGATGGATGCAGTACGACCATGGCATTGTGGAAGACTGGTCGAGCGGAAAGCCAGTCATCACTCAAGTTCGAGGGAAACCAATCGACCACAAGAGAATCTACCGCGTTGCAACAAAGATCTCTGATCTCACAAATGGTCAATCACCACCGTGGACAGAGTATTACAAGCAGCACCCATTGCTTCTTCCCCCCAAAGGTGCTTATGTAAACATCCAAGCTGAATTGATGGGATACTTTGCGAAGAACCTATGGAGAAAGATTTGGGATAGCCTAACAGATTCTATTGGAAGCGAGTGTAACGTTGATGCTATTGACAACGACTGCAATGCTGAGATGCGTTTGAAGAGTCTGGACAAGGACAATGACGGTCTGGTTTCTGTTGAAGACATTCAAGCAGCTCTTGCCGATATTGTCGGATTGTCAGTCGACAACAGGGAGCTATCACTTGCCCAATTCGTTCACTCATTTGCCGATACCAATGGATCTGGGGAAGTGACCCTTGAAGATCTACAAACTTTCTGTGACGAAATGGAAGAAGTATACGAAGCAGACGCCTGGCGCTTATCCTTTCCAAAATCATCCCCACCTCAAGGTGAACCTGTAGAGGCTTCGACATAGCTAGAGAGGCTTCGACATAGCTAGACAAAAACTACCGATAGATTCATAATTCTCAAATGGTTTATTTATCACTTATCACGTTCCGGTGATTCTATTCCTTTGTTGCACCAACTGTTTTTAAATATTGGCACAACTTTTCTAGAAGTATCTCATCGCACGGCTCACCGTCCCAAAGCGACCGCAGCAGTTCGCCGTTCAAGGAAAATCTGACAAGAAGCTCATTGTGTTCGCTGTTGCTTCCATTTCGAACAGCCGCTTTCCTCTCCAACAGATCCACTCGAAGGACACTACCATACTCCGGCCAACTGGCAGGAGCCTCGAGATTGAATGCGCAAACAAGACCAACCAATGAACTGTCGTGGCAGCTGTAGATTGTCAGTCTTGGATTATGTGTAATTGGTTGCATGTCATTGACAATTTCGGTTGCAAACTTGTTCATGGCGAGATTGGCAAGACGGGGATGCCGAAGAGATTGGAACCATCGCCATGCCAAGTGGGAGGAAATGGCAATTTTATCCTGAGGCGTTATTCCTTTGGGGAGTCTATCTCGCGTGTGCAAGCAGCAGGTAATCTCAGCTAGTTGAGCCCATGGCAATATGTTCTCATCATCGCCCACTGGGACATCAATTCCCATCTTGATGCCAAAGGCATTCTGTCCGAGATGTTCTTTGAGTGCATTGGTGCATCGGACAGCTATAGGACGCATTTCTTCTTCCTTCTGGATCATGTAAGGTCGAGAGATCAAATATTGCTCGAGCTGTTTTTGCTCTTCACTGTTGCGTGGCTGAGGATCAGGGATCATCCAATGAGTGTGTCGGCAATCGATTGCAACGCCTTCACCTTCCGGTATACCATCGGGCCAAAGCCCCAAGATAACAGCTTGTGCTGATTGGATCGTTCTAGGGAAGTCCGTTGAAACGACTCGAATATCTTTGGGTGAGAGTGGATTCGATGCATCTGTAAGTTCTTCTTTTAGCTGACTTCCTACTGCTATCATTTGCAAAAGCCCAAGCTGAGTTAATTTCCCCCAACATCCTTTAGGGTTGGCAGAGTGCGTTGTCGATTTATCGCTTCTTATGAGTGTTGTTCCTCGAGCAATCTCTTTCAATGTCTCTGGCTTCGGCAGTGTTGATCTCCAATAGTCCTCATCTTTCAACGCTGTTATACTTGTCCGATCGCCGTGACGATGGCAGATCGTTGTGCAAATTCTTCGATAGGAGTACTCTTTGGCTGCGTGAGCTATCGGTGGTGAAGTATGTATGACAAAGCCCAACATTATCAGTTTAGTTGTCACCATTCTTAGGGAGAATAGTGTTGCTTTGATGTAACGCATCCCGGCGGCAGATACAATTTGAAATTTTGTGTCATCGTCAAGTGGAGAAAAAAAATGATGTGTCGGCATGGGCGAGCCATCGAAAGTCGAATGAATCAATCAATCAATAAGCCGCGGTGTACGACGGGGCGCGGGCGGTACCGGTACCAGGTACTGTACGTGTACAATACCACACTTGTACGTCGATACCGGTAGTGTACACGCGTACCAGTGATGTAAAGGAGGGGTGGAGGGGCACTGTCGGCTCGCAGGTTTGAAATGATGAAAATCTGCTTGAGGAGCCGCTTCGACCTGACTTTTAACTCCCGTTACAGTTTTTATGCAACTAAGAAGACATCGATCCATCAATTCCTTTACGGTGACAGCCGAAGTACTGTATCAGAAACCACAGGAGATCACAAGAAATGAGGCAAGGGAAATCGCATCGATCGAACTTAGCCGACAGGCAAGAAGAAGCGACGGATCGAAGATCTCCACAGGATCAAGCACAAGCACAAGCACAAGCACAAGCACAAGCACAAGCACAAGCACAAGCACAAGCACAAGCACAAGCACAAGCACAACGGGATCGCAATCAACCAATGCAACAGCAGGGACAACAGGAAGATCAATTGAACCCTCCAGCACAGCGACAGCCACAACGTGGACCACGACACGAAGAGCAGCTGCAACAGCAACAGCAACAACAACAACAACAACAACAACAACAACAGCAACATAATTTAGAAAGTGACACAAACGTGGCTCGAATGCCACCTCGCCAACAACGAGAACAGAGCAATTCTTCCACTAGACGCAGCCGAAAGAGACGATCCTCTAGCAACAGCCACGGTCAGCGTCGCCGTAGTCAACACTCAAATTCGAAACGGTCTGAGGTCCCCTTTGGAGGAAGTCGACGCCGCAGTGACCCAACGGCAGGAGACCAAGAAGATAATCTAGTGGAACAATACCGCGCAATTTTGGACGGAGACAAAGTGGATGCCGAAGAACGCAATAAGGCTCAAAATGTCTTTGTCGCGGCTGCTGGAAATTTGTCAATGGCAGCTCAACTGTACTGGGATGATTATTTTGCAACAGCCGCCGCAGCATCCGCTGCGGCCGCTGCCAATGCTCTCCCACAACCTCCACTGAGAAACGATGCTAGCAACATGGACCACGATTCCAGCAGTAGTGATGACGATGACGATGACGACTTCAGTCGGGATGGGTCCGCAAGACGCCATCCTCATCGCAAGATCCGACGCAGCCTTGATGGTGCGTTTCGTGCTGCCAATCGTGACGACGCGAGCAGTAGCAACAACAGCAACAGTGGCGGGGACAACAGCAATGATGCTCCTGGAGAAGTAGTTCCTCGTCCTCCTTTGAGACATGCGGCGGATGACAACAATGACGATCAAGAGCTAATGCAAGAAGACCGTCTGGAGAATAACAATGACAACAACGTCGCCGAGAGTGTCTCTGTCAGCGACGATGAAACTGGTGGCAACCAAGGCGTTTGGAGATTTGCAGGAAATCGTCAAGATTCATCTCGGCGAAGACGCGGCACCCGCGACATGGAAAGACGCATCCGTGAAGCAGCTGCAGCAGTGGCGAAAAAAGTATCACCAAAGATAGAGTCTCCTCCACAACGACGAAGAAAACTCCACGACACAAGCAAGGATAAACCGAAGTTTATAATCCCCGACAGTGACTGGCTCCAGGACCTTGAGCAAGATGGTGCAGCGATCCGCGATCCTCTTTTAATCTTGTGGGGTAAAGGCACACCAGGGACAAAGAACAGCGAAAACGAAGAAGAGAACGAAGAAGAAGGACGAGGCCCTCAAGAAGACGAGGTAGTACAACCTGCTGAGAACAATATCGAAGGTGATGATGCTGATCCTCCTCCTGGCGAAGGGAACGTAGTGGTTGATGAGGTGATGGACGAGGACCAACCAGAACCACAAGGACGAGTTTCAGAACCAAATGGGCGAACCAAGAGTACCCTCACTGGAATTCCACACACATGGTTGAACGCCTCCTTTTCACTTTCTGACTGTGGCATGGGAATCGCATTGAAGCCTCCAAAGACTGAGGATATCGAGTTCTTTACTTGGAGGCAGCAACAGAATCAAGGCCGTCACCAAAGTGGCGTCGTTCCACCACCGTATCACTGCAAGTCTATGACTGTTATATTCTCCATCATACAGGCAATGCTGCTAACTGGGGCATCTATCCAGGGAGACACAGTCAATTGTACAAAGGCACAGACACCGTGGAGCGAACTTGATAAGACTCAGCGTGAAGTGCAATTCGATTCCAGACTGAAAGATGCATTGGCTGCATTGATCTTTGTTGCTGCCAAAGCATCCCTTCAACGGAAGAAGCAGGCTGTTGCTAGAACAGAGGACGAGGCTCGAGATCGAGAACAAGAAGAAGGTGTAGAAGTTGTGAACGAGGCTGAGAAATTGCAGAAAAAGAAAAGGATCCAATACATGAAACGAAGACTTCGTTTGATAACAACGTGTACTTGGGAAGATGATCCAACCGCTGGAATGCCACAAGCACCAGATGGACCGAGCCACCGCAACGTTCAAGTAGCGACCTCTTTGACCAACATCCAAGATATTGAGCTCTATGTATCCAGCAATCTTCGCGACTTTAAGGCTCCTGGAGGTGTTGCCCTCCTTTTGGAAACCATTTCCAGAATTCATGGTACCGGTGTTCTCGAACACATGATGAAGGTCAGCACTTCTGAGGGCATGTCCAAAGGAATGTATACAACTGAAAGCTTGATTTCTTGTACATGCGAACAGCGTCAAAAAAAGCAGTTGGAAGAAAACCCAATTCCTAACATTTCCCGCATTGATTCCACAAAGTTGATGGACACCACGCCACCAGGTCACGAATGTACATCCCACCAGCTGACAAGTCTGCTTCTCACTGGAAAGATTGAATCTTCGTGGAAGGGGTGGTCGAACGCTGGCCTTGGCTTTGGTTTGTTGTCCGCCAACCATGGACAAATTGGATTAGGGCTCACTCGACCAGAACAAGCAGTTTGGATGCTCCAAGGAGAGACTGGTTACACAACATTACATGTTACAGATTGCAAGGGTGCTGAACCAAGGACGGTTTCCAAACTGGACACTGCCGGAGCTGTATTGGAGTTCAGCCATTGGAACTCTTGGTACGGACAGAGGAAAGAGTCTGGTTTAAAGCTCACCACAACAGGTGCCAAATGGAACTTTCGAGCAAAGCAGATACAAAAGCAAGACAGTGTGCAGCATCGTGGAGCATCTGGACCTAGTTGGACTTTGAGGCTACTTAGAGAACAACGAGATCTTGAGCAAAGTACTTCTGCGAAAGCCAGGCAACAGGAATCGTATCTTGAAGCCAATGAATCAGAAATCAGCATCAAGCCAGAAGAAGTGAAGGCTGCTAAGGTGCACTCTGATGATGAGCGCCATTACCCAGGAAATCACAAAATGTGGCGTTTCGACATGGGTGATGTCGAAAAGGAAAATTCGTCCCATGGAGAAGACCAAAAACTACCTGGAAACAATTGGATCCCGTACTATCGTCTGACTCCGAAGCAAAAATACATTGCAGACTTGAAGCTAGGCCCGAAAATCCGAGGGATTCTATGGACACGTTGGCCAAATGCAACAATCAATGGGTTCACCCCAAGTAATGGCGAGCCACCAGTTGTCTAATAATCTGCTGTCCTACTGTATCGATACTTTTGATTCACAAAAATAATATTATTCACCGCTATTTTCCAGTATGCTTTCAGTTTCCTGGGTCCATTGGTCGACATTCGCTTCGGAGCGCAACCTCATCACCTTCGCAACTGCTTCCAAACCTAGGAGCCGCGTCTTATCGTCTTCGAACCTCTGACGATACATTTCATCCCAAGCGCGGTGATTTGATTCAAGCTTTAACTTCAATCCATCATCCGTAACATAGCTGGAGCAAAACAAGATATGGCCTCTTTCCTTTAACTCCCGTGACATCAATGGTGAAAGACCATCGGGGCCACGTAACAATGCAGATTTTTGACTTCCAGATTCATGACTGCCAGCACAGGTTAGACAATTTCCTCTTCTACAGTCGCTTGGTACATCTGGAATTGAACCAGACCTTTCCATAGCTGCGAGAATAGATTCGTCTTCTTCTATTTCAATTTTGGAAGTTCTGCCATCGTGGGAAACCTCAAAAGAGAAGACATTTTTTGATTCTAACAACGCTGAAGAAGTTGAATGAGAATGCAGTCGGTACAACCATGCATCTGGTCTTGCAACAAGAAGTGAGAGAAGTACAGAATACGATATGAAGTGTGTTCCTCTTTTCATCGTGAGAACAAGTGATGTGTGTTACGCAGGGATATGTTTTGGTGGTTGAGTTTTCGTTTCTATGACGTGGATTCGGACCTATCGAAGTACTATACTTTGTTGGGCAGTGCAGACGTCGCTAAAAAAGTACCACCCATCATCGAATCATCTCCTTCAAATCAAATGCTACCTACATTGAATACGATGGCGTTAAAGGTGCTAGTTCTATGTTTGGCTAGCATTGGATTGTCCCATGGATTTCTTGGTACACAAAGACACAACCAGATTGTAAAGCGAATCGCAAATTCAAATCCACTTCATGCAAAGGCTGCGAAGAAAAAAAAAAAAAAAACAAGCGATGCTTCATCTGGTGGCGGTTTTGGAAGGGCGCCAGATATGCAAAAAACGAAAGAAGTAAATGCCTTTTCTGTTTTTCCAGCATTAGAAGAAGAAGTTGCTGGAACACTCGTTCCCTCTGTCTCTGAGCTTATTAATGAACCAGGGGAGTTGCCAGGCGAAATCTACGATCGTTTGGATCAGATCTACGGCTTTCCAAATTTCAATTCTTTCACTCCAAAAGAAACAACAACATCCTTTGCAGATCTGATTTCAGCGCCAACAGCGAATGATAATTCAAAAATATCAAATGGTGATTTTGCGTCTCTCTTGGCCACTGCTACTGGCGAAACAATTCCTACTTCTGCAGGTGAAGGGGGAGGTGAAGACTCGACAATTGACTCGATCTCAAAAATTGAGCCCTTTGCGAAGATGAGGGTGTTACACATTGATCCTCTTGTAATCGCTGTTGATAACTTCTTCACGGATGACGAATGCGATCGTTATATCGCAATTTCTACAGCACCAAGCAAAAACGAAAAGGACTCACCTTTCCAAACCAATTCGAAAACGGTAGGAAAAGATGCCCTGGCCAAGGCGCAAAGGACCAGCACAACTTGGTTTCACCATTTTAAGAGTGTTCCTGAGCTTATGGCCAAAGCGTCGAGATTGCTTGGGTTGAAAGGAATCAGTCAGTGGGAAGAGCCCCAGACTGTTCGGTAAGATGCGATTTCGAGGCTCTATTCCCTTTTCAGCCTTTCGCTCATACCGCATGCCTCTTTTATCGCTACGTAGATATCGTCGCCAAGAAAAGTTTACATGGCACTTGGATGCTCTTTCTCCTTCCGAACCTGCTTCTGAGATCCCTGGAGGTCAACGAATAGCAACTCTCCTCGTGTACCTTTCCGAGCTTAATAAGGAAGATGGCGGAGCAACAATATTCAGAGACCTCTCAGCCGATGGCACTATGCTGAAAGTGTGAGTTTGTGCCTGGTGACAATCGCAAACTGAAAAGATATCTGTACTCATGATTGTTTTCCGTTTGGGTCAAAGTCAACCCCAAAAGGGCTCTGCTCTACTCTTCTTTCCTGCAGCAGGTGGAATCCCAAATGCGCCCTTTGATATTCGGACCCTTCATTGCGGCGAGGCTGTGAGCCAGGCCGCAATGCAGGATAAATGGATTTCACAACTGTGGTTGCGAGAAGGGACCTACACGCCAACTGCACCTGCTGGAAACAACCATGCTGATGCTACAGAACCAATAATTCAATACTGCACGGATGGTCAAATTTGAAAAGAGGAATAGCACGAAGAAATTATCTGCAATTGATGTATATAGTTTTAATAACCATACTGTTCACTGCACACAGTGCTGCATTGCTTGCTTCGCTTGCTTACCTTGCATTTGACATGCCTTCTATCTCGTTCGACTCATTTGACTTCGAACCGCCAACCTGAAACAAGGTGTGTAATGCCTGCGCAGACGCGCCTGCCTATCTCCGACTGCCTCCATCGAGCACCCACAACTTTTAAGTAGAACATGGCATTGAACACTACTTCAATAAGACAAACCAATACAAGAGGCCACGCACACTCCTGTCCCGAACCGAGTAACAGAATACAATCGACTCCGTAGTCCCCAAACATTGCGATGTGTTTGGATCTCTTAGTGTCCAAGAAATCTAAACAGAGGCTCTGCCCCACGTTTCGTCTATCATGTTGATGAAAGCAAGGAGGAGAGTTATACGTGTACCAGGCCCAAGATGGGTAATCGCTATCAGCATTATGGTATTTTCCTTCTGGACTCTCCTAGCAGGAGGAGGTGTTCCGTCTTTTGATCAAGAGGATTTGCGACTGGGTCATTTTGTCCACCTTCGATCGAAGAAACAAAAACTTACCTGGATCAAAACCCTGAACCGAACTCTTATTGTGGACATACTTTCAATTGGAAGCCAAAGCCGCAAAGAGCTACAGAGAACGCAAATTAATACATTTGGAACCCACAAAACTGTGCGTAATTTCTTTGTGGCAGATGAATTTGTTGACAAAGACCCAAAGTGTAACCAAGCCTTAGACGTCGAAGACACATTTAAGATTAGCAACTTTTGTGTTCAAAAGGAGTGGAAGGAGGAGAATCAGTGGCTGATGCGGCTAATGACGCGTCACTATATCACTCGCGAGAGACTAGAGGAAAATTCAAATCCAGTTGGGTGGATGTGTGCCCAGGCGAGACCTTTATTTAGTTTATTCGAGATACAAAAGCGATACAAGCGGGAGCCTCTGCCGGATTATTTGATTGTGATTGACGACGATAGCTACTTCAATATGAACAAGTTTCAAAAACACTTTACGCTTGAAGGCTCCTCACGGCCAAGAGCAATTGCTGGTTGCCGTATCAAGTATCACCTTACATTTAGCGGTCCATATGGTGGTTTTGGACTCATCTTGAGTCGCGCAATGCTCAAAGATTTGATGGAGCCAATCGATTGCTCAACAAATTATACTACCGATAGCATATGTGGTCGTATTGAAATGGATCGAATCGGGGAGTATGGTGTATTTCGAGATATGATATCTGGCAGCCTCGTAGAATTGATGAAGAGATATGCTGAGCTTTCAGCTTTTCGAGACCACAAGAAGTGGACGACCGGATATTGCCTCCACAGTGATTGGGCGACAGGATACTTGATTTCTCTCTACGGTCGAGCTCTTGGGACGTACAATTCGCACCCAAGAATGCGTTCGGTATTCAATATGAGATTCAATTTCGACAAATCACCTTCAAACATATGCCGTTTTGAGCGAGAAAAATGCACACCAAAAGCCGAAGCTTGTCACTATGTTCAACGTGGTATTATGTCATCAATCTTTCATGAGCAAATGAATCAAACACCAAATGAATTCGGCCAGTCACCAATCGTTATCAGGTTGAGAGATGGTGATTAAAATTAATGGAAGTGGTAAAAATGGATCTTGTTCTTTATAATGGTTTTATGGAGATATCGCTTGAATGACTTATTTGCAGTTCCGTGTTCAAGTTGATAGTCTCATCTTGAGATTGAGGTCAGTCTATCTTCTTTGGAGTTACGATGTGATGGTAGATGCAGGACGAGTTTGGCTCTTGGATGCAACGTTTTGGAAGAACAATGAGATTAAAAAACTGAAGGGGCGCGCTATCATAGAGAACATTTAGGTCGCGGAGGTAACTTCAAACTGAACCTTTCACTGTACCTACGGAGGTACTTCTCTATCCCTGCACGAAGCTATGAACCATCAACCCCTCAACTACCGGCAGTTGAAGTTGCGCAGAATTTGCAAATTCAACCAGAAGTGTTAACCTGTGCTGTACCAGCCAGCAGTACCCTCCTATCCTAACTGGCTGACTAAAAGTATTTACGAATTCAACGAGAAATATTACAACTGCAGTGTCAGGTACTGATGTGATGAATGAGGAAAAAATGAAGATGCGAAGATCATTGATTGATTGTTGACTAAAATTAGAAAAAATGGCGATGATAATGGCAGTGGGACATGACTACCAACACGGTACAGTATGGTAGTGATTGTGACAGGCTCTTCCGCCTGGTGTTGATCTTGGGCTTATTTTTCGGGAATGTGGATGTTCTCTGGGACTTTTACGTATAACTTCAGCTTCTCAGAGAACAAGGAATAGTCCGATAATAGTTTTTTCATTATTCAATTTCAAATATGTGACTTTAGATTTTCATTCTCCGTGAGCTAGATACTTAAGGCTTGAAAGTATTTCGGGAACGCAGATTCAGCAACAAATATTGAATAATTGTTCTGGTCAAAATTGTTAAAACATGACACATTCTGAGCCAGGTTTCACAAACCACATCAACCATGACCAGTCAATCATCAACACCCAGAAAGCGGACCATCCGCGGGGGAAGTGCTGCACAATTCCCGGGGAAGTTACACGACATGCTTTGCTACGTCGAGAAGCAAGGGTTGCATTCAATCATTTCTTGGAACTTTGATGGGCGTTCGTTCATGATCCATGATCCTGAAAAGCTGATGACGATTCTACCAATCTTCTTTGAACAGACAAAATACAGATCATTTCGACGCCAGCTAAATATGTGGCACTTCGAAAGAATCCTCGATGGCCCCAACAGAGACAGCTTCCATCATCCATTCTTCTTGCGAGGGAACAAGGAACTATGTGCATACATGAGCCGAGATGCCAAATCTCTTCCAGCTGGCACCCCACTTCGCAAACTTTCATGTGTTGAACAGGGGATGTCTGTTTTACAAACTTCTCAACCACTCCAAAGAATGTTGAATACAATTTACCAGACTAGAGCTAATAATGTGGTGGATGAGATGCGAAGAGGAGGAGTGAACTCACGAGCCTCTTCGAGCTCGCCTCAAGGGCTTGCTCTAAGCGAGACTGGAAATTCGCAAGTTTGTGATCAAGCGAGTTTTGCAGGGCGAAGCTTCTTCCCCTTGGAGATCACTCCTAAGCAACCTACATTGAAGAGTTGTGTTCCTTCGTCCCAAAGTCTGCTAGCAGTCAATCAGAATACGAAATTTCAGTCTGGATCTCTGGAACGCGACTTGGATAGCATCATGAGTATGGAGTACCAGAAAAACAACATTCCAGCTGGGATTCTGGAGCTAATAGAAAACGATAAGGTATAAATAACACTAACTTACTTTTAAAAAAAAAAGTCAGTTCTTACGGGACTGAGAATGAATCGTGTGAAAGCAATGCTGCTGCATCGAATGCAAATCGCATGGCACCGGTGGCTGTCGAAAACTAAAGACCATTGATAAGAGATATATAAGAAGACCGAAGAGTTTCGAGTTTCAGTGAATAGACTGCTGCAATGAATCTCCTGGGAAAGGCAAAGAGATCTGCACAGAAAACAAAACTACGCGGAGACATCGTGGTACTTGAGCGCAAAGCAAACGGCCGGAAAAAAGCGTTTGGAATTGAGTTCTATGATCTCATCACCAATGACAAGAACAAGTTGCTGGGAGTTTCTGCTGGGACAATTTTTAAAGGCCACCGAGAAGAGCTGAAAGAGCCGTTTGAAAGAGCGCGTGATGATATGGCCGGGAAGCAGGCTCAGAAGGATGTTCATCAAAAGGACTTGGACGTAATGGAAGTCAAAGGAGCACACACGCTTCCGAGTGACACAATGGGCGAGAAGGTCAACAAGGCCGGCGCTGTCATGTCCAATGCCGCTAATGCCACAAAGTTGGGTGGCAAAATGGCATTGCTGGATAGAGAAATGAAGATTCGTAAGGAGCAGTTTGGTCTCGAAGTCTTTGAATACTTTAATGCACCACAAGACGGGAAGAGGACGAGCATGAAGAAGAGACTCTCTGAAAAGCTTTCAGGAGTGACTCAACATGAGCAGGATATTCAAGCTTGTATCGATGCAGCGAAAAGAGATGTGGGAGAAATTGAGGACCAGATAAAATCAAAACGTACACAGATGGGTTTCTTGGACGAAGAGAGTCAGCCACTGATGTAGATGTATCGAGGGACGGCATCATTTCTTTCTCCTAGCTCATAACACTATAATTCTTTTGAAGTCTTCCAGTACTTGGCTTTTCCATCCTCATAGTTGCAATTTGAAGAGTTGTGACTCAGTGCCATTTGGGATCAATTTTTTAGTTTGGTGGCTAGGAATATTCTGATACATCCCACAGCCTTCAAACAATTAATTTGTCTACTTGGATAGTTCTTTTAATGATTGTAGCATGGATACGTCGGTGTGTAACCTAGCAGTCGATGCCGTTGACAAATGAGTAGAAATATTGCAAACCACAATCGTACTAATGTGATCTTGGGCAATCTATTACAAAATGTTTGATTCTGCATGCGACTGGTCACGTTTTACTGGGTAGCAGATGCGGGACAGGCAAATGATGAAAAATAGAACCTAGCTTAGAAGGGAGTTTTCATGTAATAATACCCCGCCATCAAGCGGATCAATAAAAATTGCGTCCATTTCATACCAAACTGCAGTCGAACACATTTCAGATTGAGACCCCCCTATCCCTTTAAAAAGCTTAAAGACCAAAACTGACTAAAGACCAACTTGGTCATAAACCCAAAGCGCCTCGCCACATTGAAACTTTATTTTGTGGAAAAACCGAAGATAACAAAGGCGATTCAATCGATGCAAGCAGTGTGTGGAAGGAGACAACCAAAGGTCATTATATCCAGCTTCATATCTTTGAAAGCTTCTCGTAGAAAGCTCATGGCACCAATCTGCGAAGCGATCTTCTGTCTCCACTGGTCCTCATGTCGACAATACTGGGTTGGTCCTCGAAGTAGCTTTCAATATCCTCGAAGGAGCTTTCAATATCAGTTGAAATTGTTCACTGTAGTTTCAGTTGCGAACTTCCGGGATGGTCGAGATGGTCGCACATTGAATATTAAGAAAAATACGTTCACGTAGATGTATATACTTCGCAATCTTCCTCCTAGAAGTTTGGGCACTCTTTCTTCCACAACATCTCCAGACCACATTCGATTGCAACACAAAAAAGCTTTCGCTTCATTGACTAGAAGAAGTCAGGAAGCAACTCGTTTAGAATCATTTCCAATCAAATTCTCCAGTATTCCTAAATTCGTGGACTACTGCATTGTGAGTTGTCGAACACACCAGAGGGTATCTGAATGCTATCACAATTGATTGCATCAACAAAAACGCAGTAGGAATAGTTCATTACCGACAACAAAACACGCAAGATGACGAGAGTGAAGAAAGGGCGAGAGGTAATGTTTCCTGGAAAGCTCATGAGCATACTGGAAAGTGCTGAAGCAGAAAAGTATGATCACATTGTGGCTTGGTGCCCCAACGGAAGTGCATTCACGGTTCGAGAAAAGGACCTCTTTATCCAGCAAATCTGTTCGGCACATTTCAAACTAACAAGGTGGAGAAGCTTTGCGAAACAGTTGAACGATTGGGGCTTCCTTCGAGACAGAAAGAGAAATTCGTCAACTTTCAGTCATCCAATTTTCCGCCGCGGAGACCCAGAATCGCTGACTCGAATGATACGCACTGACAGTAAGCAGAAGAGGGAGAGCTGCGGCCGGACTAGTGTCAATAAGATAGCAGGGCGAGATTGTGGTATCCCGCTCACCTCTGAGGAATCACAAAAGGAAGAAAGTAACGAATCGTCGTTCTCTGATGAAGACGGGGAGGGATCCATTGACACTGAAACTGAGTCTGCTTCTTGCACAGACGAAGAGTCAGAAGCGGGGGAGCCTACATCACCTTTTCGAGCAATCTCCGCTGTATTCAGTGAGAGTTATATAACCGAAGAAGATTGCCCAATGGATCTTGAACTGGGCATCCATCAACTTTATCAAGACGCTGGAGAAATTGTCACCGAGGCGTTTTCGTCCAACAGACCATCCGAGGCAGAGTCGACACGGAAAAATAGTGAGAAATCGCTTTGTGAAGGAAAAGTAGGCTCCGAGTGGGTATGTGTCGGTGACGATTCGTTAATTCTTTCTGACTTGGGGACTGGGCAGGCAATTTAGCCGGCCTAAGAAGATAACCGATCTCCGATTGGTTCGTTCTTGATGTGATGTATCATGGTTCCAATCCATAATTATCAACAACAATGACATTGTTGTTCCAGCAACATACAATAATTTTTGTCGTATCGATAAAAGGTTGAAGGGTTTCGGTTCTGAGACTAAATCATTTTCTGTTGCGTTGCCTGTTAATTCGTAATTCGTGCATTGTTTCGTGATTCTTACTTGTGGGTTAAAAGAATGCCTGAATCTTGTTTGTTTGTGCTGCAGATACCCCGCTAAACCGCAATATATTCCATCTTCCGCTGTTGCAATCAAGTTGGAAGAGTCAAGATGAAAATTAGATTCCAAAGAAACTGTTTCCACCTCTGCGCATGGATGACACTCAAAAATTTACGGCGCGCCATTTATATAATTTTCACCACAAGACGAGTACTGCAAACTGTACATAAACTCCCGTACATCAACACGAAATCGTTCTCTACACTAACTTTTGTTTTGCCAAAGTCAGACGTCAACAGAGCTGTGGGAGAAGAGTCTGGCGCATCTGAATCATCATGGATTTGTCTTTTGGCCTACAAAGAAAGCGGCAGCACACGTGGGTGTCCCCACCAACAATATCGCAAGAGGAGAGTGATGACGCTGATATGGACATTATTTTCCCTTCAACGAAACGCTCTCGCTTATTTTGCGACTGCTACGCATTGTCTCCCGACGTTGTCATTGATAATGAAACGCTAGAAAGCGATATTTCCATGGATATCAGCGTAAAGAGCACTGCCGAGGATGGTGCTGAATACGCAGTCGAATGGTGGAAACGGGCTTCGGTAAAACAAGGACAACAGAAACCTCCCATGCTAGATGACGACGATATGGTTTGCCATGTTTGCGATTCTGTTTACAAAAAACCTACTTCAATCGCCTCTACTCCTTTTTGCAACACTTTCAAGCCCGAGAATTCGATTCTTTCGTATTTCAAATGCACGTCCAAAACTACAGCCAAGAGGACGAAGCCTTCATCGGTAACAATTCCCGAAATCGCACCGACTACATCAACTTCTTGTACTTTTTGTGAGCGGCAAACCTGTCAAAATTGCCTGGAACGATGCGAGAATTGCCAAAAGCAGTTTTGCCGATTGTGCATACGAAATGATTATTTAGGAAATTATTCAAAGATCCTTTGCTTGGATTGCGCAGACGGCGGATTTCACGAGGATACAGCGATGAAAGTTTAATGATTGACAATTAATCCACAAGAAGAAAGGGGGGCATTTGACCAATGCGATAGGGAATGAATGACAATGATTCCGTGATTGATTCATCGAATTGTGGACTAGCAACCATTCTGGGTATGTCTTTTCCATCGAAAACGATGGGCAGCTCTTCCACGAATTTTGCTCTTTCGTTCGCTGCAAAGATCTTCGTCAACCTTTTATTATACGCGAAATGTAAGATTTAAATGTTCATATTCAAAAAGAAAGGTCAAATCCGGATTTCAACAAAAAACACGATTGTGGTGAAGAGTAGCTTGTACGGTATAATGCCACTCCTTGTTATTGAAGGCACAATGAGGGACCATAGTCACAGCGAATTAGTTATCCACTCTTGCAGTTGTTTTCATGTCGGCCATTTTAAACTATTAAAGTAAACAGCTACAGCAGTATTACCGGGTAGAACAAGTTTCATGCTGTGTTACTCGTGTCTATAGGTATCTGTGATCATGAGTAAAACGTTTGTACGGTCTGTCAAACACCCGTACAAGTTGACGGTCACAGTCTTTTGCCATGCAGACGGTCTAAAATATAGCTCCAAAGGTGGTTGATTCCAGGTTTAAACAAACCTGTGATAAAGAACACTCATGACCGTACTTTTATAGAATCTCTATATATGTACTTTCCTAATTTGACAAATTCAAATTAGAAATCAACATCACCTGTGATGACATTGTAAAGCACGGTTGGATACCGCGAGAAGAACGAGGCATCACTTGTGATAGCTTCGTGGCGAAGAGCTGCGATGAGGTTTCTCAACCTCGACGCCCGACCGTGCACTTTGAACAGGCCCCCCTTTAAACACCCACAAAAATCCCATCTCTCCCCATTATCAGAGGAGTGAGTAAGGGTGCGTTCACCACTCCACAAATCTTCTTGGTAGGTCTGGTACATTCCTATTTCATTTCCTTTTCTTAATAACCGTTTCCTGACCGAGCTGCACAAAACCCAAACACGTGGATACGGTACAAAATCTACGTAAAATGGACTCCACCGACCACAATTGTAAACTCTAAATACCCTTTACCAAATATGGCCACCAAAGAACTGAACACATAGCAGAAACTCTTTTATATCATAGAAAGGGTACAATAAGCCTCCGTAAGTGGAAATCGTTGTCAGAAGGCGCTATAAGATTTCGACGTTTCACAAAAGGCCTTTCTTAGTTTTTCCTGGTACTGGTCCTACACAGTCCTACACAAGTTTTGACTGCTAGGAAACATAAGATCGTAGATGTGGTAGTGGTCCAACAAAATAATTCCACTTAGGAAAGTGCTTCTTTATCTATTGTATTTAGTGATGGGCCTTTGTCTGATTATCGACAATGCCTTCATATCAGCGATCTTGATCAACTAGTATTGGGTAATTTTGGCGATACTGGCAAATATTTGTTTTTACGTAGAGCTAGTATATATCCTAATCAGCCTCTGATCAAAAAACGTTTAAATAGCAATAATTTCGACAAGGTGCCACCCGAAATGTCTAGATCGTACAATGGCTAGTACCCCGCATTGTGGTTGCGGAAATCTGAGTTCGATTCTCAGTCTGGACAACTGTTTTAGTCTTTTAGTCTTTTTTAGTCTTTTCGCCCCTCAATTATCTTATCTGCTTCTTATACCGGTATGGTACTGTATGAATTTGAACAGCGATTCTCGGTCTGGACAAATGTTTCAGTCTTTTGGCCTCTCAATTATCTTATCTGCTTCTTGTAACTACAGTACCAGGTACTGTTTGAATTTGAACAGCACATTTAAACTCGTCTTACGTTTCACTTTTGATCATATCTTTCGTTTGCTTCCTTGTGGACCAGGTACTGTAGCACATTCTGCTCCAGAGAGGTGATGGCTATTCCTCTGCTGTTGTTGATTAACGAACTTTTTCCTTTTCACCAAAGCATCCACATTTGGCATCAATAGAAAGAATACTCGTGCAAAGAACATGTGAACTTGTTTGCAGTATAAGCGATTGTCCATTCTTCAAAATGTGATTCTTACTTTACATCATTACGTTAAATCTTCCGAATTTTTATAACTTCTGGAACCCTCCAGCACCTTTTCTTCAACGAATAATCACCAATAGAGGGCACACTACAGTTGGCAAACATTCATGGTGAGTAGTGGGGAAACTTCTTCATGATAGCCTTGGACGACTCCTCCAGAACATCAACTGCGGTCGTGATGTCTGCTTCTGTGTGTAATGCGGACACTGTAATTCGCAAGGCAGGCGCCAACTCAGTTCTCAAATGGCCGCAAGCGTCTTGGCCAGTGGAAACAATTGCAATTCCTCGACTCAAGCACTCTTGCATGATGCCCTTAATAATGTCTGCTTCGTACTCTGATTCCTTCGTCAATTGAAGAACGACGATAGGTGACCGCTCGTCGCTTGTCACAACAAGTTTAGTCAATGTCTTCTCCAAGCAACCATACATCAATTTCATATTCGATTGTAATTTCTCGATGCAGTCAACGTTCGATTCCATGTGCTGAATCGCAGCTATGGCGGCGCTTGCTGTAAATGGTGGCGCGGATGCACTGAAACAGTATCCTGCTCCCGATAGTCGCTGGTGATCTACGACTTCTTCGTTTCCCACAGTAACACCTCCAACACTTCCAATGGAGTTCTCGAGGGCAATTGTAACGATTTCGGCATCGTACATATGCCGTTTGTTGAAATGCTCTAGCGCGCCACGCCCTGTTTCGCCCAATGTGCCAAATGAGAAGCTCTCGTCAAGAATCAAACGATAATTGTACTTGTTTTTAAGATCCACAATTTTGTCCAGCGGCGCGATGGTTCCTAGATTTTTGTACAGTCCCTCAACAACAATAAATCGTCTCAAAGCATTTGGCTTTCGACCCAATTTAAGATCAGTCTTGTGAAGACCATCCAGAACTCGCTCTAGATCTTCCATATCGTTGTGCTTAAACCAGTGGACGTTTGCTCGGCTCAAGTAAACTCCAGTCATAAGTGGTTCATAGATACCTTCATCTACAACCAAGACGTCACCGCGCTTTGCAAATGCGGCTACAGTACTGGAGCAAGTGGAAGCGCCATCGGAATACATGATGGCACCATCTGTTTTCACAAATTTGCTGATTGTATCTTCAAGCTCCAAATGTTTGTCGATGGTGCCATAGAAACCACGAGGACCGCAAGAACCACAACCGTACTTGACCAATGCTTCTGTAGAGGCTTTCTTCAGAAGCGAAGATGTCTGGAAGCCGAGAAAATCAAAATTGCAGAAGTTCATGACCTTTGTCTTCGTCCCTGGATTGTTTACTGTGCTGACAGTTAACATTTTTCCATGTTGCTCGTGAACGATAAGGCATTCTCCATCGCCACCATCCTCTTCAACAGACGGCGCCAACGGAGCCCGAGTTCTCTTCCAATCTCCCAATAATTCTTCTGTCTCTTTCGTGCTCAGATTATCTTTACCATTCTTGTATCCCTGGGTGGATCGAGACGCCATGATGTAAATGATACTCAAAAGCAGGATAGTTTCAACTGCAACATGCAACGGATCATTCTCTACCAAATTCCACCACCAAATGCTGTACATTGCTGGAAATCCTTTTACGAATTCCAATGCTTCTCCGACATCTGGTAGGGTATAGGCATTGTGCCATAGTTTGTAGCACGTTTGCCCTGCCTTGAATCCCAACTCATGAACAGCAGGAAACAGCATCTACAATATTACAATTCAACCGGTAATGTTGCTTCACTCGTGAAAAATGACAAAAATTGAAAATATTTTCAATATGGGGTCGCGTCGCATTGAACACTTTCATCAACTTTGAACTTCGCGAGGTGAGTCAGACTATTCGTCTGTACTTGGTGCAACTTTTATTTTTCGCAAAGAAGCACCCACCACCACATGCTTCCACCGGCTGTAATCATGTATGGTACTCGTCCTGAAAGCAACTATGACCTATGGCCCGTTTACTATTTTCGGAAAGATGAAAGAGTTGCTCATCGCAAAACTTTTTTAAGAGCACTTGCGTGGTGGCTCTTGCCAAGCGGAGAAACAACCAGCAAGAAGTGGACGAGGAGGGAGCCAGGGTCGTGGTCGTACTGCTACAGTACACCTAGTATAGTAGCTAGCTAGTAGTAAAGATACTTCTTTAGGACAGATCATGTTATTGGGTGAGCCAACTTTTATTTATATGCTGTTCATATCCTATTTTTAAGAAAAAATTAAACCAATGGATGGAAGGCAATATAATTTGAAAGGTAGAAAAAGCAAAAGAATTGTCCAGACTGAGAATCGAACTCAGATTTCCGCAACCACAATGCGGGGTACTAGCCATTGTACGATCTAGACTGAGGAGTTGTTTCAATTGCGAATTTAGGGCTATATATTTAAGACAAATTTCCTCACTTTCTCGTGTGGCACGTGAAAAACGTATTACATGTCCAACCCTACAATTACAAGGGTACCTAATTAGTCATCGTTATGCAGTTTTAACTCCTGAAACATTTCTAAACCTAAGGAAATGTTATGATTGACACAATTATTTTCAAGCAAGCTTCAAAATTCAAAATACTGCAAAATGTCGATGTGTTAGTGGTCAAGCCTGTGTTGCAGCAGAACGGTAGATTGCACATATTTCAAACATTGTTCATGTCATTTGAAGCTACTATTCCAATTTTCCAATATGCTACTGGTTAGAAACTACCGACCTGCAAACAAGTGGAGTAGTGGCTTATCAATCCGCTGTGCCCAAGCGCGCTCATTGTGCCTCCCACCGGGAATGGCTTCGTAGCAATACTCGGCACCGACCTCGCTCAAAGCATCTTTCATGGCATCCACTCCCATCTGTAGCTGTGTGTCTAGCCAAAAGTAGCCAGGGTTCCACCAATGCTTGGACGTCAGATGATCCATCAAATCGACCATGGGAACTTTATTTTCTCCATGGTCTCCACCAATATCGAGGTAGATCTTCTTTGTCCTCAGGCACGGGTAGTTGTTTTGCTTCACTTCGTTCAAAATAAATGGACCGAAAGCGGGTGATAAACAGGCTGCGCCACGAAATAATGTAGGGTGCCGCAGAAGCAGATGAAGTGATGCTTGGCCGCCAAGGCTTGCTCCCATGGCATACGAATCGGTAGCATTTGTCCTGAATTGGTTGTCGATCAATGGTTTGAGAGTCTTGGCCACAAAATCGGCATGACTTTGTGCAAAAGGTATATTTATATCCCCATATTCCAAATGCCTTCTTCTAACCCCCGGAAAGATATCTCCCTCCGCAGATTCGAGCAATACAACAATTGGCAGTGCTTCTCGTATCAGACCTCGCTCCGCAAGGCGTGTCAATGCTCCTGCCAATCTCCAACTTGCTCCCGTCCAACTCCAGGAGTCCTGTATCGCGTTTTGACCATCGTGGCAATATAGCACTGGATGTTTGTCTTTTCCGCCTTCGTATCCTGGTGGTAGCCACACATGGACAGGTCGGGGAGGCATGACGAGGTCGCCTCCTATGTTGATACTCGCCAGGTTTACATCCACACCATAGGTATCTTCTGGTGGGATCGTGATCACGCTTCCACCGCATGGACCATTTGGAAACGGTGGGCTCAACTGATTTCTCCGGCGTAGCGTTGAAGAATCTTGCTGAAATGACAAAACTCGGGGGATTGAAAGGGCAATTAATAGCGCTTGGTGTATTCTTCTGGTACGACTCATCTACAGAAATGCTGTTCACTTGCTTGGTGAGAAATGATGCAACGCTTGTAACCAAATTGTTAAGTTGTGTGGACAGCCAATTCACAGAGAACACCAATCAACCATTACTGTGAGTGACATCGCATTCTTCGCCTGAAGGATTTTCAAAATCCTTGAAGTTTTTGGAGCCACCTCAGATCGATTTTTCTAATTTTTTTGTCAAAGCGAACATGTTAGGTCTGTACTTCCCACCGAAAGTACGTGTTTTGAAAGTTATGATGATTCATTATCCGTTGTCAACAACAAGCTAGGAAAGATAAGCGTGTGACTTGGTGAAGTGGAACACAAAAATAGTCATCGATCATGAAGAATCTGAAGGTTCCCACCATCGTCCTGCTCCTCTGCATAGCAGCAGTAAATGCATTCTCAAGTCCTAGTTCAATACAATCCAAGGTGAACAGAAAGACAGCAACCGAGTTGGATATGGTCGCTGGAGGATCTGTAGTGCCAAAGGTAGTTGCTAAAGTTGGGGTTGCCGCTGTTTCTGCAGCCCTTGCAGGAACTGGTTTCGTGAAACTCATTTTGGACAAGCCTTCCAGATCTTACGGTGAAGGCTCTGTTGCGCAAGAATACGACGAATGGGCTGATGAAGGAATCCTGGAATACTATTGGGGAGAACATATCCACTTGGGATACTACTCCAAAGAAGAAAAGTACAAATACAAGGCCTTGAATGAAGCTCAGTATGCATTCATTGATGAAATGATGAAGTTCGGTGGAATTGATCCAGGTGTGGATGGAAACGCAAAGGTGCTCGACGTTGGTTGTGGATTTGGAGGAACATCCAGATATCTTGCTCGAAAACTTGGACCAAATTCCGAAGTTACAGCAATCACACTAAGCCCAAAGCAAGTCGAACGAGCTACTGAGCTTGCCGTAGAGCAAAAAACACCAAACGCCAAATTTAAGGTGGAAGATGCTTTGGCGATGAGTTTCCCAGATAATAGCTTTGATATCGTTTGGGCTTGTGAAAGTGGAGAGCACATGCCCGACAAGAAGAAGTACATCGAGCAAATGATGCGAGTTCTGAAACCTGGTGGCAAGTTCGTCATGGCTACCTGGTGTCAGCGTGATGACAGAGAAGCTCCTTTCGACAAGCGAGACAAACGTGATTTGCAGTACTTGTATGAAGAATGGTAAGTCTGCTGAAACGCATTTTGAAGAGTGGAACCTGATTTGTATTTTGACAGCAAATCTTTATCCGCCCTCGCAGGAGTCATCCATACTTTATTTCCAAGGAAGCATATGCTGAGCTAATTGACAAAAGTGGTATGATGAACAAGGTGACAACAGCCGATTGGGTCAAGGAAACAATCAACTCTTGGCGTCACACCATCTGGAAGGGTGTAAAGGATCCAAGAGGATGGATCTTCAAACCAAAGACATACTTGAAGTGCGTTCGTGATGGGTACTGCTTGGAGCGAATGCATCGGGCATTCAAGAGAGGGCTTATGGAATATGGAATGATTACTGCTACCAAGAAAGAAGAATAAACATTGGTTCTGTAAGCTTTTTATTATTAAAATGTATCTTCAGAATTTTCTTTTCGTGGTTGTTGAAGTAGTCCTAGTTGTGCAATACCATCATCTTAGCATGCGTCCTGACTGCTATGACGGTGGTGGAGTTTGCACTTTTGGTAGAATTGGTTGTCATCTCATCTGCTTTCGCATCATGCTGATTTCTCCCAATCTCCATTCTAATAGCACGCATGAGACAAAACAATCGATCCCTTGTTTGTTTTGGATTAAGGGAGATCGCTCCAATGAGAGTGAAGGGTGTGATAAAATTTAATTTACGCGCGATCTTCTTTGTATCCTAGTACTCTGTAGTTTCAGTATATTGTTGACAAAACCAATTCTTCAACCGAAGACACTTACACCCCAGAGAATTTGTTTGGGTCGGGTTTGCCGATGGCATATACCTCAAAGCCAATTTCTCGAAGTGCCTTGTGGTCGCAGATGAGACGGCCGTCGAAAAAGAACGCAGGTTTGGCCATTGAGTCGTAGATCTTCTTGAAGTCCAATGTCTTGAATTCGTCCCACTCTGTCAGGATGCAGACTCCATGAGATCCCTCGCAGGTCTTGTATACGTCATCTTCGGTGGTGACAGATTCGTCCAAGCGAGGGGTGTTATCGTGATTGACGCCACAAGTGTAACTCATTTCGCTCCACATGTCTTCACGGCTGACTTGAGGATCGTAAATGTGAAGTTTGGCTCCTTCTTGAAGCAAGTCGCGAACGACGAACATCGATGGTGTTTCTCTGACATCCCCAGTATCCTTCTTAAAGGCATATCCCAGAATTGAAATTTTCTTCCCAGTGACGGTGTTGAACATGGCGGCAACAACCTTCTCGGAGAAACGTCTCTTTTGGAAGTCGTTCATATTGATAACACCTCTCCAGTAGTCGGCACATTCTTGAAGCCCATAAGTCTCGCATAGGTAGACAAGATTCAGGATGTCCTTTTGGAAGCACGATCCTCCAAATCCGACAGACGACTGCAAGAATCTCTTTCCGATACGGTCATCCATACCGACAGCGCGGCTAATTTCAGAAACATCAGCTCCAGTAGATTCACAAAGAGCAGAGATAGAGTTGATAGAGGAGACACGTTGGGCCAAGAAGGCATTAGCCACGAGCTTCGACAACTCGGAAGACCACAAGTTGGTGGTGAGGATTTGTTCACGTGGTATCCAGTTGGCATAGACGCTGGCTAGGGTTTCGGCAGCCTTAAGTCCTTCGGGAGTTTGCTGTCCTCCAATAAGCACACGATCGGGATTCATGAGATCTGTGATAGCGGTACCCTCAGCCAAAAACTCTGGGTTACTCAAGACTTGGAAGGAGTTTCCGTTTTCGTTAGACTTGAGAATACGCTGAATGGCAGAGGCAGTACGAACGGGCACAGTGGACTTTTCAACGACAATCTTGTCACTCTTGGCGACCTTGGCAATTTGTCGAGCACAGAGCTCGCAGTTTTTAATGTTGGCAGCACGTCCAGCACCAATTCCAGAGGTCTTGGTTGGGGTGTTGACAGAAATGAAGACAATATCGGCCTCTTGGATTTCCTTGTCCAAGTCAGTAGAGAAGAAAAGATTTCTTCCACGGGCTTCCTTGACAACCTCAAGGAGTCCAGGTTCATAAATTGGCAAGTTGTCAGAATTCCAGCCATCGATTTGCTTTTGAGAAATGTCTCCAACAACGACACGGATCTATACATCAAAGGAAATAAAAGAAACAAGAATTAGACACAGACTTTGCTGGATTGATGATGAATTCATCTCCAATCCCTCTGTGACCGCGTCATAATTCACGAAAAAGTGTAATGACGGCATCGCACTGCAACGGCATCTACGCACCTTGGGGCATTGCTTCGCAATAACCGCCATTGTTGGACCACCGACGTATCCAGCGCCCATACAAAGAATCTTAAGGTCCCATTCACTCATCTTTATTCAATTTCACTGATGTGTTGTGTCGGCACTGCAAAATGTCTTGTGCCTTTTTCTCAAACTGGCGGGGCAATGATGGGACTTGATGGGCCGAAGTCGACGTACGCGCACTACCTGGTAGCCCAGTACCCGTAGGAAGTTTGCCGTATGTGATTTATGGCAGCTGACGGGCTGTGGACGGACACCCACGTCATACTGATCGATGATTTCGAGATTACGAAATGACAGTAAAAACCGTATTATATCCCCTCCCTACCTTTCTCCTCCCCCAACAAAAAACTTTCTTTTTGGGTTTCTGGAGATATTACTGTACCGTATATTGAATATATTGTATTACATACTATCATACATCGTCTTGGGAGCAATACCTAGCTAATCCATAGACGAGCTAGACACTCTTAACCAAAGGACAAAGAATGTCAACAATAGAAACGCCATCCCCTGGAATGGGTTCGATGGTGCTTCAAGGCTTGGTAAAACTGAGCATGAGAGTCGGAACGTTTGCCCTTAGTTTGACAGCCTTAGTTGCGACGCTGTTGTACATCAAGCAAGATAGGTACGATCATGTATGCCTGGATGTGCTGAAAAAGGCGAATGCTGATTGAATCTCTTGGCCATTTTCAAGTATGCTGTATTTCCCTGAGATACAAGGACTACCGAGAAGGCCAGAAGACAATCCTGCGGGATATCGGTCGCCAGACGAGCACGAAGTCTCCTCGTATGATGATGTATATATAGTATGTGACGATAACAAGACAATTCATGCTTGGTTGATTTTGCGAACCAAAGAGAAAAATAACCTCCCAACACTCATTTTTTTCCACGGAAATGCTGGTAATATCGGTCTTCGTATTCCAAATGCACTACACATGGTTAGTTTGATTTTGTTGTTGACATCTGGGTATCCGTCTATAGTTGTTTGAAGCTCACCTTCTTCTCTACAAATAGCTCCAACATTTGAATTCCAACATTCTAATGGTTGAGTATAGAGGCTACGGAAATAGCGACTCGGTGAAGCCTACTGAAGCTGGATTGAAAAAGGATGCTCAAGCTGCACTAAAGTTTATATCCAAACATCCGAAGATTGATGCGTCCAAACTCTTCATCTTTGGGCGTAGTTTGGGGGGTGAGTAGTGTCTGGTGTTTGTCATAATATATTTCTATGGTGTGTCCTGACAAAAAGTATATGGTTCTCCTTATCAAGGTGCTGTCGCCTTTGATCTCGCTCAGTACGCTGAGGAAAACAATATTCCTCTGGCTGGCGTCATTGTCGAGAATAGTAAGTTTTCACTTCCCATTTCGATCATCATAATTTGGGACCTGCAAAACTCTCACACATCGCATCAACTTTTTTGGAATAGCCTTCTTGAGTATTGCCAAGATGGTGGATCAATTGATGCCTATGATCGCTCCCCTCAAATCTCTTGTCTTGCGGATCGGTTGGAATTCCTGTGACATTGTTCCAAAGCTAACTCTCCCAGTACTCTACCTTGCGGGAAGGAGAGATGAACTGGTACCTCATAGCCATATGCTGGATCTCTTCAAAGCAACAACAAAATCGAGACTACCCAAAATTCACATTATCAAAAGGGGTACTCACAACGAAACGTGGCTCAAGGGTGGACAAGCGTATTGGGATGCAATCAAGAGCTTCATGGCGGAGGCACAGAACGCTCCTGGAAGCATCGTCACTTCGATTTCCAGCAAAACGGAATCTTCACCGGTGATACCGGTAGGAACAGATTCCGATAGTTCTATTCCGATCATGCCAAGTGGATTGATGGGACTTGCTAGGGAGTCCATGCGCGATATCAATGAGGAGCAGGCTTCAGGCAAGAAGAAGGAGTTGTAATTTTTTATTTTTTTTTCGCTCATTACACCATTCAATTTGTGCTACCTTCGTTGCGCCGATTCAATCGAGTATGAGGTTGAGTATACAGTAAGTTTTATAATAATGCAACTGTACAAGAGTTTTTATACGATTAGCACAAATATGGACTAGATAGCGTAGCAAAGCCGGAGGCAACACCTCCTTCATCGACATTGCTGAACTTTGTTCGCAATAAGAAGCCAGCGTATTCATTGTGAACCACTTCTCCCACTGGGTCGACCACGACAGTGCCATAACATCCCAGCTCTGAAATACTGTCACCACTGCCCTCAACTTTGCCGCCACGCAAGAGAATAGCTCGTTGCTGTGGGGGGAATAGACGTTGCATCAAAATGTATTCCGCAAGATTCTCACTGAGCTTTAGAGAACCGTCACTCCCCTCGCTGGTGTTCTTTTCTAACTTTTCCTTCAACTGCGCCCCATAAAAGTTGTAACCTCCACCTTCGCGTTGGGGCTTCAACACGAATTGTCCTTCCTTCCCTCCAAGCGCTTCTTGGACTGCGTCAATATCTTCTGGGACCGCGTCTTCACCAAGGCTGTAAAGACCGGCAAAGGCTGATTTCATTTTCTCGACCATTTCCTTTTCATCTTCCTTAGGAAAGAAACGCTCCAGCACTCCCGGTCGAGCCAATTCCTGTTGGACTTTCTTGGTACCTGCCAAGTGGTAACCAAGTGATGGGCACTTTGCGGCCCGCGAATTCTCGAGTGTAAGGCGGGCCTTCCATTCAATACCATCGTCACCATCTGGATAGTCTGTGGGAGCATACCCAGCACGGTAGTACACAACTGCAATTTCTTTATCTCCAAGCTTCAACGCACCATCGTCGCTAACGGTGATCTCACTGGAAGCTTTGGTCAACGACATGCGCACTACGGGAACTCCAAAATCGGAGAATAGTCGGAACTCAAGCATCCTTTGATCAACAGTGTTTGTTTCTCCCTCCTGCACGACAAACAAGACAATCTTGTTTGCACTGTCTCCACCGGAAAACTTTTTGCAATATCGGTTAAAGGCAATTTGCATGGCAGCAGGGATACGAGAAAGCGCAGGATTCTCAGGAACTCCGGGGGCACTCTCTGTGGAAGCTGTGACTATTTTCTGGTTTGTCAAAAGGTAGTCTTCGATTTCTGGTGCGAATCTCGTTGTCAAATACCGATGAAGGTCGGCGATGTTACATGCTAGACCAGCAAATGACGCAGCAATGGTGTTCAATTCAACTTGCTTCAACCGGTATGGTTCTCCTTCCTTGACTGAATGAAGCATGTAATCGCTTCTTTGGATACCAAGCCGGTCAGCAGTATGAGCAACGCTGTCGTCGTTGCCGTAAACTTCCTTGTATAGACTAAGAATTTTAGCAGTAAACAGATCGTGCTCGGCAACACCGCCGCCAAGTGTCTTCTCCAAAAACTCAGAATCGCGACTCACACGGTCAACGAGCTCATTAAAGGCAGTGGCTACCGACTGTGCTTGGTCGAAGGCTTCCTTAGGGTAGGCATTTGGGAGCAGTGACATCGGTGCACACTCGAAATAAGCACTGGCTGGATCGTCCTTCTTCCGACGCTCAACTTGAATTCCATTCGCAGATGCATAGGCATTGGCATGAGTTGCCAACAACTCCAAGGGGATATCTGGCATTGTGATAGCAGATGCTTGTGGACGAAACAATAGTGAGAAGAACAATGCCCTAGTTTGGAATCTAGGAAACATTATATTCGACTTCGTTCTTGTTCCACAAATATCAACAATGCATGGGCGGGATTTTCGAAGCGCGGAACTGGATCGACCGACGGACCAACCAAACCCAACGCTTTTGTGATATCCTCAGTCGAGGTAAACGACTGCCGTCACTACCCGGTACTGTCCGAGGAGTAAAAATGAGGGAGTATTAACAGGGGCGCATCTATTGTTGAACATGTACAAGAGATGTCCAAGATGTCCATTCCATTCAACGACAACTTCTTTACTGTACATCTCGCCCACAAGGCTCACATTGAACATGTAACAGAGTAGACCTATTCATAGTATTTTTCCTAGTAAAACTGCCGCTGCCGGTACCCAATATGTTGTAAGGAGTATTCCCTCTCCTGTCCCCTTATTTAAGAAGTCGCCCGCGACTGGAAGAAAGTCGGGCTTGAGTTGTCAAGCGAGAAGAATGGGCTCGACTTGCTTGTGGATACTGATGGCCCTGCCTTCTGTTCGGCGTTCCCAGCAGTTACCACAGTCTTTGGTGGTGCAGCAGCAGAATCCCTATTCGTTACATTTGCCAAGGGCACTTGACTTGGCGATGAACCACCATTTTGTTTGCCATTGACACCAAATGCCTTCGGATTGATGGTAACACTCTTTGTGCAATTGTTTGTCTTGTAGATTCCAACCAGTCTATCTGCAAGTTCAAACATATTGTTTCGAAGAGAAATGATGATGAATTGGGCATTCTTCGTCCGTTCCTTGATGTAATTTGCCACAATTGATACATTCTTGAAATCCAATGCAGCATCAATCTCGTCCATGACGTACAACGGAGTTGGCTTATAGTGATGAAGTGCAAATACAAGCGATAGCGACGAGAGAGTCTTTTCACCTCCTGATAAGTTGCTGATATTCTTCCATGACTTCTTTGGTGGCCTTACTGAGAATACAATGCCTTCAGAAAATGGATCAAGAGAGTCGACAAGTTCGAGTTCGGCATCTCCACCAAGAGTAATCATCTGGTACATCTCTTTCAGTTTTAGTGTGATCGCACCAAAACCTTCCATAAACATTTCAAGGCGCTCACGTCGGAGCTCTTCGTGCTTTCTGCGAGCTTCGTTCCGTTCGTCAGTCACTTGATCTAGTTCACCTACTCGGGAAAGATAGTCGGCTTCCTTCTTCTTGTATTCAGTAATTGCTCCCATATTTGCATTTCTTGCGAGAGTGCTTCTCTCATTCCTAAGTGTTTCAATCGCTTCCTCTACTTCGCTGACCTTGTATTGTTCAAGAACAGAATGAGAGAGCATTGATTCTGATTCTCCTGCAGTGGAGCTTTCGTTGGTGGCTTCGTCGTCAGTACCATCATCCTTCTCTTCGTCAACATCCATTGCACCACCGGACTCTGCTTGGTCTTCGCTGTTCTGCTTGATCTTTTCGACTTCATCTTCAACCTCTTCGTCTTCCTCGACTTCGTTCTCTTTCTCGACCTTACGAAGCTTTTCAATTTCCTTGTGCCATCTTCTCTTCTTCTTTTTGTTTTCAGAGCACTGCTTCTCGAGGGCGTCCAATTGGCCTAGCAGATCGATTTCAACACATCTTACTTCCGATTGAGAGGCTTTCAAGTCTTCGACTTCTTTCGACACTTTCTCGAGTGCAAGCCTTTTCTTTTCTTCCACAACCTTGACCTGTTCATACGCAGTCATTACTTGGAACGCTCCTGCTTCAAGCGCCTTGAATTCCTTTTGTTTCTCCTCCAGAAGCTCTTCGTTTCCTGCTAGTTCCTTCTCCAGACCTTCTCTAGCAGCTTTGGCCTTGGAAACCGCTTTTTCAGTGGACTTGATTTCAACATTAGAAGAGTTCAGTTTCTTTTCTGCTTCGTTCAATTGGGATACAATCTTGTCACATGTTGCCTTCTGGTTCTTCATTCTTGTTCCACCAGCTTTGAGAATTTCATTCTGCATATCCGAGACCTCTTTCTCCAACGCAGAGGCTCGTTTCGCACATGATTCGACCTCTACTGTGCATCTTCCAACATTGCTGCTTAGTTCAAGCAGTCTTTCCGCATCTTCCTCACTGACCTTGGTCTGTTCTCGAAGCTCTGGAACGAGTTTCGTTAATTCCTCTCTGGTAGTATCACAACCAGCGATCTCCATACGCAACTTGGGCATCTTGATCTCCAGAGTCTTGATAGTCTTGGAAAGAGTCCGGAGTTCGTCCTTGATCGTCAGTCGCCGCTTTCGGCACTCTTGAAGTCTATTGTTGGTTTCATTGTTTTCCTTTTCGAGGGTTTCCAAAGCGGCTTCAAAATCCTCGCCGGACGAAGCAGCAGGGGCATGCGATCTTGAATCTGCGAGACGCATACCTCCACGACGAACTGCTTTGCCGCCCCCGGACATTGTTCCAGCAGTCTCGATGAGTTTTCCATCCAAGGTAACAACTCGCCACCTCTTGGAGTAGTCATATGCCCAACGTGATGCTGTCTCAAGGTCAGGTGCCACAAGAGTATTTCCAACTGCGAGGTAAAGCGCTGGCGTGACAGCAAAGTTGGATGGAACAATGAGCTCAAAAAGCCGAGGTGCGCCTTCAGGTGTCTCTACAGCTCGATCATGAGCACCCTTCTTTTGCTTATCCAGCGGTATAAAGCTTGCTCGTCCTAAGTTGTGCTTTCTGAGGAACTCAAGGCATCTTTGAGCCCCAGCAGTGGTCTGAACAACGATATGATCAAGCATACCGCATGCAGTTGAAACCGCTACATCATACTTTGCTGGAACTGTTGCAAGGTCTCCAAGACGACCAAGCACTCCACAGCCTGATAACTCCCCTCCCTTCTTCGCAGCTTTGATGATCCCCCTTGTTGCCTTGGAGCGACCTTTTCCTCCACCTGTAGATCTCATGGCAGATCTGACGTCTTCCAGTTTTGCAATGTACTCTTTTTGCTTTTTCCCAAGAGATTCTTCATCACGAATAAGAAACTTGTCTTCGTTATGCAGACCCTGAACAGTTATCTTTGCAGTGGATAGGTCCTTCTCGGTGGTTTGCAGTTCGTTTCGTTTCTTGTCCTGTGTCTCGTCCAATGCAGCCAGTTCTTCTTCTGCTGATTGAAGACGCTCTTGGGCTCGATCAGTTGAATCTTTCATGAGCTTAAGCTCTGTTTCAGCAGTTTCGAGCGATGCCTGAAGTTCAGCCCGTTGCTGCTTGACTGGAGCCAATTCCTCGGTCTTCACTTCTAGCTTTCGTCTGATTTTCTGAGTGGAAGCTTTGGTCTCTTCTTCTATCCTTTCCAACTTTTCATCTTCAACCTTTCGTTCCTCGACTAGATTCTGAATTTCTTCTTCAAGCAGTGGAATTCTCTCGATGGCCTTTTCCCTCTTCTTAGCAGCCGTAGTCTCCTTCTTTGTTTCAGTCTTGATCTTGTCCTTCAACTTTTTGTTCTTGCTTCGCTCATGCTTGATCTCTTCGCGGAGCTTGATATCTTTTCTCTCTACTGCTGTGAACTCATCCTTAGTCCTCTTCAGTTCATTGAAGGTTGCATCGTAGTCTTTGCGTTGTTCCGATAGACCACTTTCAATTTCTTCAATTCTTTCATCAGCAAAGGTCAGTTTTTCTTTTTGCTTGGATATTTTCACAGCGACTTTCTCCTTCTTTTCGGAGATTTGAACACCTTCTTGATCGGTCGTCATTAGATGAATGTGGTATAGTATATTCTGCTTCTGACGAATTTCCCGCTCTTTTGCCAATAGCGCTTCGGCTTCTTGCTTTGCTCCTTCAAGATTATCCTTCTCTTTCTCGACTGCCTTGACGCGGTTCAACTTTTCCTGTCGAACTTCGGTTAGAGCGTCCACTTTTTCTGCTGCCTCGTTCGTAGCTTCTACGAACTTGGAAGATCCAATAATGTCTTCAAGATATTCCAGCAAACCTTCATCATTCTCTGTCTTTCCTTTGGGTGGCATCATTGATATCATTTCGACCTCACCTTGCAGGATCAAAAAACGATTGTTGTCAAGGTCGATGCCCTTAGAGTTCAGATAAGTTGCGATATCCTTGAAGGAAGAGTTTCTACCATCGAGTTTGTAGGTCGATGAACTATCGGTCTTAGCAATTCTCGTAACAATGGTTTCTGTGTTCGGGACAATTTCAAAATCGTCGTCACCGTCTCCAGTGTCTACGATTTCCTGAAAGTGAACAGACACGCGGGCATATTGAGGAGGGTCATCTTTTACCGCATCGCTCTTGTGGATCAATTCTGAAACTTTATTGAGACGCAATTTTTTGGCACGCTTGCCAAACACGAATAGCATTGCATCGATCACATTTGATTTTCCAGATCCATTTGGACCGACAACAGCAGAGAAACACTTATGAAAGGGTCCAATTTCCTTGATACCTGCATATGATTTGAAGTTTTCCAAGACCTGCCAAGAGAACCGTGATGTTAGACGGGGATTCTGCATCTCCTTCGACAATCCGAAAGCACAAATAACATACCATCTTGGTAATCATGAGACGAGGAGGCGGATGATTCTCGTCATTGCTGTCCTCAATCATTTCACTTGCCTCCCGGGGAGGGGGGGTATTGTTTTCGCCGTCATCCACCATCTTTGGTGTCCGAACAAAGCGCTGTTTTAGAAGTATGAATACCACGACGCGATCACACGTTTTGAATTGTGAAAATAACGGTCGAAGCGATTTGAATAGTTTTTTTGAGTCAACTGAGTCGATTTAAGGATTACTGTACTGCATGCAGTGTACCGGTACGTGTACCGGTCTGTACCGGTATTGATGAGATGTTAGGTAGTATTCCAATCATGCTGGTATTTCAGCTTGTATCGGGACAAGATAATATTTCAAGTATTTCGCGAATTATTTTCTACAGGGCGTTGGAATCCTTCAAATCGCTCTCCTGCGAGATGGCATATGGTCCGAAAGAGAGAATCCCGATTCCAAGCAATAGTAGACTCTGCTTCATTCCCGGGAAATCAATAGGGATGTACTTCGATCCTAACGATGTTGCCATCAGAAGACCTCCAAGAACAAACGGCATGCGACGTTTGCTCGTCAGCCGGTTATGACCTGAAGCTGTGAGTTCCTGAATTGTTTCGCAGGCCTTTATAGTTCTCTCGTAGGATGGATCTACAACTCCCATCGTCCTCTTTGCCATTGCCTTTCTAACAATTGCTTCGGAAAATTGGTAGAAAGTATCATGGACCTCATCCAATGTGTTGGTCCGGAGAAGCAGCTTACACGAAGTACCCTTTCGGATCTTAACGACACCTGTAAATACTTTGTTGTTCGAATAACATTTGTCAAGAGTAGCAATAGCCATGACCTGAGGAATTGCACAAAAGCGAAAAATCTGTTTACACTGAAGCTTCGACATGTAAGCCAAGCAATCGGGAGCCAGTTCCAAGGCATCTGTTACCAACTCATTCAAGCATTGCAAAGACCTTTCTTGTACTTCTTCATCCTCTTGTCTGGTAAAGTACCCAAGCTCTCCCGTTTTCGAATACTTCTTCCAGATTGTCTGCGGCCAGAAGGCTCGATGATCAACATAGTCCTCTAGATAGTCACGGATGATATTCGTTTTCTGGAGGAAGAGCCCCATTTGATCACTCAGGAAAAGTTCACCGCCGAAGGATTTCTTTTCTAGTCCTGAAGCAGCAAACAAACGGCTTAACCCTTCGCCCACCAGACCAGCGACGAAATGACAATACCGATTGTACTGCTCAACGTCTACAGTGCCCTGACCCAAGTCTTTTCCTACAAATTCGGCCATTCCATCTGCCATTCGTTGGGTAATATCTCCAATGACACTTTTTGACTTCTCGCTCAGCTTGGCATACACACGGTGGCACTTGTCGAAGTTTTCCAAAAGTAGCTTTTCGTCTCCCTCGCCAACTCCGTCCATGGTCCACGTAGGATCACCCAACGCTGTCTTTCGGAAGTTGGTAAGATGCTTAATCTTGATATCGTTGCTTTCGAATGCTGTAGTGTCGTCTTCGATCGTATCTAACGCTCTCAACACCAGGTAAAATATCAATATATCAACAAGCATCGAGGATGGTAATTGACGAATGACCGCAGCAAAACTACGGGAAACTTTCACGAGGATGTCATCACAAAATGCCAAGTCATCGGCGTCGAAAGTCTCCGTGATAAACGGAGTTTCCAAGTTAGATTTGAGTGGTTTGACCTTCAAAAAGTAGAAGGCTGCAAACACTTCGTCGATATGCGAAAGCTGTTTGAGCATGGGTTCTTTGTGTATCTTCACCTTTCCATAAGCCCCTTGTTTTTTGCTGCAGCAATTGCGGAAGTGCGTTTTAAGAGTGGCATGGTGGAAAGAGTGTTAGGCTGGACGCTGAAAAGAACAGCAAGTGAATAGATTCACGAATGCGCCGCTAGATTCCTCTTTACCTTTCATCTCCCTGCTTTTCTTCAAACAGTGGCCCTGCTTTTCCTTTTCCTCCGAGATGCTCCTTTGGCGGATCGAACTCATGAATTGCGGCGTAATCACAGTGTTCATCTGTCGTCATTGTCTCCTTGAGGTTCTTCCACCAACTGGTAACCAACCACTTCTTACAGATAAGGCGAAACCAGGGAGAAAAGAGTAGCGACGAGTCTTTCATCATCTCGTCTAGTTTTTGAGGTGACACCCACTTGATGTCATCGACTTCGTCAGGATGCGGTTTAATAGTCAGTTCACTCTTGTTCTTGACGCAGAAGAAGAGAACGTAGTCAATTTCGTGCTCTCCCCACGGGCTGAAAAACAGATTTTTAGTACATCGTATCGCATTCTACGCAGTGTAACCATTCACTTACCTGTCCCTTCCATGTGTCACTGTGTCGGCAGCCCAGTAGTGGAGTCGAGTCAAGAATTTGAATTTCCCTACCGGCAATTGGACGCTAGGGATGCCCAATTCATGATCCAACTTTCGGATAGCTGCATATTTTGCACCCATAACTGTTCCATTTGCAACATCCTCGGGGGTATCTACTTCTGCAGGCTCCATACCGTGTAAAGGATGAGAGCAGCATGTATTTGTCCATACCTAGAGAGTTGGTGGTGCAAAAACGGGCAAGAACGTGCAAGAAAGCAAGAGAGTGTCGTCAGAAACACCAAACAAAAGAAACAGAACCCAGAATAGAGAATTTCTGAGGCCAAAGTTGCATGTAGAAGTCACAAGCTGTCTTCTTCGCAAAAGAAACAGACAGGAGGAAGGTCATACTCACATTTGGGAAAGTGATCTTGGTGGATGCACGTTGCTGAAGCAAAAGTTCACCGGTGGACTCATCAAATAAAAAGACAGAGAATGCCCGGTGCAAAATTCCTCTTGGCTGTTCCGTGTTGAAGACGTGAGATTCCTTTTTGGAAGCGGATCCAATGATATTGTCTTGGTCGTCAAGAACAATCACTGTATCTTTCAGCATCATATCATTTTGACTCATCGCGTTCCCGTCCCATTTTTTCGCAGAAGGTGACATTTTGAAATCGGAGGCCTCGGAGACTTGGAATATGAGAAGAAAGGAGGTGCACCACACTAGAAATGCTGAGTTCCAACTAAACTTGTTGGTTTTTGATTGTGGCATTGTCGTCGATGATGATTTTTTTATCGACTTTGGCTCGGTCTGACACGTGCATTTTACGTGCATTTTTCGCGGTGAAATGCGCGGTCATCCGATTACATCGACTAAACCAGAATTTTGGACAAATTGAAAACGAAACCCACCATCAACAAACAACAACAAGTCTACTGTTAGAACTGATGAGCTCATCTACGCCTGATACAAAGTCTCCTGCAAGGGGCAACTTGACTAGTATCAGTGAGGTAGAATCAATTGACAGCAATTCCCAGGAAGAAGGAAAGAAACGACTGGATGCCCGTCAATACAGCGTTAATAATTACTTCGATCACGATTCATTGAACACCTCCAAAAAGCCTCCCTCCTGGTTGGAGTCTTCGTTCGTTCATTTGTCGGCACCCCGTGACTTATCCACGCGGTCCAATGGCTCGGTGTATCATTCGAAACATGGGTTCCAAGAAGAGCACCTCCACCTACTTGAGTTGCTCGAGGCGTCGAAGCCCAATTCCAACGTTTCAATAAGTTCGGATAGTATCGACCGCGTTGCGACAGCGCTGGAAAAAGATACACAGCGCCTATACGGAGAATGTCAAGCCTATGAAGAAGCTGTGTTCAAAGCGAAGCAACGAATCAAGACGTTTAACGCTGTCTCAAAGGTTGGTTTGGAAACTACCACCAAAGCTTATGAAAGCGAAATTGATTTGTTGCAACAAGAGATAGAAGCACGGCAGGCTGAATTAGAGCACCTGAACTCATTATACAAGGATCAGATGAATATCGCAACCCAGCTGGAAACATATGAAGAACAGTATCATGCGAAAAAAAATGCGCTGGAGCTAAAGTCAAAAGCATTCGATGCGGTGCTGGATCAAACGTCGAACGAACTGTCCCAAGTTCAGAGTGAGGTGGATAGATTGGCCTCCGTCCAGCTTCCTCAGGCACTCTTTGACTTGCAGGTCGATCAAAGAGGACTACGCTATCCTCTTATCAACCAATTGCGGCTGGCTTACCGCCCAAAAGGCGATGTACCAACAAAGGAAATTGAGGTGGCTTGGTCTCAAGCGACACAACTTCTACTTGTTCTCGGGACCCTCTTGAACTATCCATCATCGGATTGGAAGGTTGTACCTCTTGCGGATTGTGCCAAGCTAATTTATCGCAAGGAAATCTACAATATGCTACCTGGCGATTGTCGAAGCCTCATTGCATGGAATGCTTTACTGGACCAGGTCTTGAAACATGCTTCTAGGCTCAGCAAATTTCAGATTCATGGGCTTTCCCCAACACCCCCCTTTCCATCTTCGGCAACTGCTATTGGGAAAATTGACCTGACTTCATTGAATCAGTTAGATCATGCCGGATGGTCTCACGTGAGTAGTTCCAAGCAGATGTATTTACTCACCATTTCAAGGGTCAGAACTGATATTTTCCAATTCCATTCTCTATTTGCCTCCATCTCTCTCGCGCACTCTCTTCCCTCAAACGTGTTCCTTTGTATTTGTAGGCAATCCATCGAATGGCTTCCAATCTGTCGTGGTTGTCAAAACTATGCTCCACTCAGGTGGCAGAACAAGTTGCTGTCCTTGCACACAGCGTTGCCTAATACTATCACATGAGTTCCAAGCAGCATGAGCTATGACGTTCCATGGTACAAGTGTACTAGAAATAGGGAGTCTCGTGGAGCATCCGATGACAATGCGAATGATATTCATTCACACTGTCCTGGATCCAAGTCACCAAAGTAGCAGTATAATTGCGTTTGCGAATCATCATAAAGTGGTCCTATGATGACTGTAGAGGATAATAAAAGAGATTGAATTTTGCATTTTGCATTACGAAGAGAATTGACTCTGACTAGTCAAGACAGCGTCATGTTGAATGAATGAAGAATGAATGTCATGTTTCGTGCTGTCTGTCCGTCATAACGACAGGCATTTTGATGGTTTGAACAAGAGTGTATGTTCTTGGTTTGATGAACAAATAACTTACAGTGCATGTACAGTATTGTTTTTCTCAAATAAATATGGGTTCCGACGACAAGATGGAGACTGACAAGGCTGAATCAGTCGCTTCAACTACCTCTGTGAAAGACGAGACTACTACATCGACAAGACAGACTAAGAAACGGCCTCGAAGTCCGATGCCCGATGAGTCCTCGACGGCAACTACAAAACAGGGTGCCATAAACCCTGCTTCTGCCGCTGCAGCTGCCCAGTTGAGTGCTTCGATGGGGTGGAATGGATTGTACTCCCTACTTTCGGCATCTGCGATTAGCACAACATCAACGACAAACGTCATGCCAACCTCGGAGCAAGTGGAACAGGCTGCCACGAAAAGTATGCAGGACTGTCCCCCATTTGTCCATTTGAGCAAGACTGATTCCGCTCCTCAACTCAAGATTCTTGATGATCGTCGATTGACAATCAAGGGTGGCATGCGTGGTTATCGAATGTCTAGAGCCACTCACGGTGTTTCCGCTGGCAACTACTACTACGAAGCCATTATCTTGGCGCCACCTTCTGTCTCGGAAATTGTAGAATATTTGCCATCAAATGTACGCATGGGGAAAAAGCTGCAAGACCAAATTCAGCAAGCTCTATTGGATGAGAAAGCAGGGAAGGAGAACTCTACTCAATTTGGAGGCCACGCTCGGTTGGGCTGGAGTATGCGAACTGGGGACCTTCAAGCTCCTGTTGGGTATGACAAGTGGAGTTTTGGATTGCGCGATATTGGAGGCTCGAAGATTCATTGCTCAAAACGAGACGATAAGTGGGGAGGCGAAGCATTTGGTTCGGGCGATGTGGTGGGTTGTGCTATTTCCCTTCCACCCAAAGACGAGGATGGCAATCCAACTGGTGTGAACACAATCAAGTTCTTCAAAAATGGCACACCTATGGGAGACATCATCGTCAGTAAGGGGAGAAAAGAAGGTGGAGACGCTTTCCACCCGCCAGATGGCGTGTATTATCCTGCCATTTCCACATACATGGGGGCTGGGGTCAAGATCAATCCAGGCCCCTACTTTGTCTATCCTCCTCGCAAGCAAAAGACTGGGTATAAGTTTCAACCAGTAAGCGATCTTTGCAAACCTCCCGCCCCAATCGAAGAGGCCATCACAAAAGTGCAAAAAGAAAAACCGTTCAGAAAGTCAGACATGTTACAAAAGTTTCAAGAGCTCGTGGAGATCGAGGCAAAACTTCTTCACGATGCCTATCAGGAGCACAGGAGAAAACATATTGAGGAAATTGTCGAGCAGCGTGAGAAACGCAGTCTTTCCATCAGTGGCTTGGAGGAAGATGAATTTTACAAGAAAGATTAACTAGACCCTCAAATTTGCTGTACTGCTTTCTTCTCGCGCCAAAGCCTAGCACATTCCTTCATCACGTCGCTCTGTGACACTTTTGGGTTTGCTCTACCTTCCCCTCGTTGGATATTCATCAGCTTTTCTCTCACTACTTTTGACTGGTCCTTCACAAACAAATTGTATTCCGAGGGAGGAGCTCGTTTCTTTTCTGTTATATTCGTCTTCGCGGTCTTTGCGTCGACTTCAACTAACCTTCCCTTGCATCTTCCACAGCACTGCTTCTTTACATCAATACTCCTACTCTGTCGCTTTACCAGAAAAGAGCAACCAGGTTTGGAGCATGCCTGTAGCAACAATAACAATGATGGCATCTTGAGATCTCTATACCCAAAAAACGAGAACATGGTGAGCACATCATGACTTACCCATGCGTATTTGTATTCGATTTCGTAAGTATGAGTTGTTGTCACTTCAATCCCTGAAATCTCTTTCATGGCAATTCTGGCCCACTTCCAAAAGTATTTGCCATGAGGGGGGTTGCATTGGTTGTCAAGAATCCATGCAGCGGCATGAACCATCTCATGAAGCAGTGTAGATTCTAATCGTTCTTGACTGTCTAGCACTTTGGTGCTCAATTCGATGGTCGCAAAGCGTTGAAGTGGAACCCCTGGTCTCATGTTCTGCCCACTTTTACGAAGTCTCGTCAACCCAGCCGTAGTCCGCAACTTTGTCGACCATTGCACGGATACGGATTCCAGCTTTCCTCCAAATACTTTAGTATTGAATTCTTTGAATAGGTCTTTTGTCATTGGTTCTCGCTTGGTCTTGAAAGCGCGTTTGCTCATTGGGGTCCTTTTCCTCTTGGGTTGACTGAATGTACGTTTGTTGTCTTTGTCATTCACGCTAAGTCGTTTCGTTGACTCAATCAAATCATCGACGTCATTACTTTCTTCTTCACTAAGATTACTAAAATCAATTTCAAATTCAGCGTCACTACTGGAATCGCTACCAGTACTATCGTCGTCGATAAAAGATGAAGATATTTGAAGAGGCCGTCGCGATGGGTCCAATCGCGCTGTTTTTCGTAAATCACTGGTGTCGTCATCTGAATCCGTCAAAATTTCTACAACCTTGCTGTTGCCAATCGGTGGCTCTGTTTCCAATTCAATCTCGTTCTCTGAATCTGAATCTGAATCTGAATCTGAATCTGAATCTGAATCCTCAGTCAAATGAATTATTTGACTTTCATTCGCATCTGTTTTTTCTTCCGCTCTTTCTTGCATTTCAAAGTTTGGAAGGCTACGGATATTTTCCTTGCCATTTTCGTTCTCCAAAATTGGAGGCTCGCATTCACAGCCACATTCGTCTTCATTTGTAGCCGCACGGATAGTTGCTGGAGCCTTATTTTCAATAGCCGTAAGAAAATCAACACATGCTTTCACAGGAGCTTGAGGATCTTTTGGAGCTGTTCTGGTCTGCTCAATGCATCGCCAGAGAGCACCATACTTGGGCAAGAAGTCTCGTTCGAAACGTTTTTTCAACGCAATCTCTTTTCCCTGCAACATGTCGTTGGCTGTCATTGTAAATCGCTTCGATTCTTCTTTTCTTGATTTTTTAAAAACAGTAATCCTGTGCTGTACTGTAGGTGAGGTAGATGTTCTTGTCTGCTCACCCCACTCACTCGGCCGTTATTGTGAAATCTTGAAAATCCGAACCTGCAACGGCTTTTCGGATTTGACGGGTGACGGACAGGACAGGGCGAACAAATTTGACTGCTTTGCTGTTCGTGTGCCACGCCCAAAAATGTCTTTGATGCTGTCGCTCACGCAGCAGATGGCTCCCCCAGTTTTTATGCTTTGTCAGATTGACGACCATAATAATCCGTCTGGTGCGACGAGAACCCTTTAAACAGTTCGATGACGTTTTCCACTGGCCACGCCAAATCAATTTTCCTCTTTTTCGGAAAAAAGATTACCAGATACACTACTGAGATCATCACCTCTCTCACTCTTCTCGTTACCAACCGTTCAATCACCTTTCTTGCCACTTCTAATCCACTGAAATGACCCAGCAAAATGATGTACAAGCACCTGTACGAAAGACAATGAGCAAGGTCCAAGCCCTAATGACGGAGCCTGCGATGATTCCAGCGTCGTGGTATCTTGGCGGTACTCACGATGTCAAGCTTTTGACTAGCGTTGATGGCGATCTAGACCCCGCCGTCCTGAACAGATTGACCACAGTTCCCAAAGATATTGGTGAAATTGCATTGTCTGTCGAGTGCATGGTTTCGCTTGATGACATATTCGGCGACTTTGAAAGCGACCTTTTGGCAAAGATAGCAACGAACACCCTTGTCTCCAAACCACCAAGCTGTGTTGCTTCTCCAGCCAAGAGAGCCAAGACTACCGTCACCAGTAAAAACGCACCACAAGCACAAATGCCAAAAGCCACTGTCGGAGCACCACCACAAACTATTTTGAAGCCCCAACGTTCACCATCCATGGAATCCTTCAGTGTTCCCAATCCACTTGCTGATTCTACATACACACCGGTACCGAATCCGTTGTCTGCTGCTCCCATCACACCACCCGATTCACCAGTTTCTGTCACCGTGCCCATTCCCATCACCATCGACTCTCAATTGTCCCGGAAGCGAAAGGTTTCTACTGCCCCAGCGATTGCGCCAAAAAACAAGAAGGCTGTAAGGGGGGGGCGAGTCCAAGTGTCTCTTGTTGCTGCTCCGAGGCAATAACGACCGAAACTACCAATTGCACGAGGCATCATGTATTGCATACGACACTGCGAAACAAGAGAAACATCGTGTATGCCCACATTCTGTAAAATGATCTATTTTTAAAACTTGTTACAATCCTCTACGGCATTCGACATTTTACCCAATACTGTAGCTAGGTTCTAGCTGTTGGCCAAGGAATTTCTAGAATGTTGTATCCAGTCTGCGCATGCGTTGAATATTCACCATAGAGCTGTCCACATTGCTCCCAAACAATGTCACTCTTCCCGCCTCCTGTACTCGCACCGGAAACTGTAAAACACTGCAGTTTCATGCGCCTTTGTGATCAGCTGTCACGAACGTGACTGAATGATTGAATGAATCAATCAATCATCGGGCTTGCGCGCAATAAAAAAAGATCTCTGCGGACTTCCGATTGGAGGCATTTGTGACTGGTTTCCCAAATCCAACGGATCGCTGTTCTTGCGACTATTGTGTCAGTTATTTCAATAGATACTATACAGTTCCGGTACCACTACAGATTAGTGCTTTGAAGATGGCATCCAAGACCAAACTAGACCCCCTTCGCGAATTTCTCGATGCGGTAGTGACTCGTATTGAAACTTTGGAGGCTCACTGCGGCATCTCAGGTGCAGCAGTCACACGCGCTGAATCCACAACCGCCACGAAACATGCTGCTTTGGAAAAGACCCCTTCGGCACGACATATTACTGGCGAAGGTACGTTTGGACTGAGTTTATTGAAGTTTTTCGTTTCGGAGTCCGCTTCTACTGATTTCCTTTTCTCTTCTCCGCCGCAGGTGAAACACCAGCAGTCAAGGCTTTTGACACCTTCCTAACACAATCTGTTTATCCATTAGCCGATACTTGCGATGACTTGAACGATATGGGTGATATGGGAAAGCTTTTGGTCGACGCCTTTGATGGTGCCAAATATGTAATTGTCTTGGCTTCGCGTTCCAAGAAGCCAGCCAGCATTGCTGAAATTGCTCCTCATCTAAAACCCATCACTGAAAATGTCGGCAAGATCCGATCCTTGAGATTGAAACGTGAATTCGACAATCATTGCAAAGCCATGATGGAAATGCTTGCCTGTATGTCTTGGGTCACCTGCGAGGCTCCAGCACAATTGCCAGCTCCCTTTGTTAAAGAATGCATCGGATCCAGTGAGTTTTGGTCCAACCGCATTCGCAAGGAATTCAAAGGAAAGGATGCTCCCTACCAAATTGCTTTCTGTGACAACATGAAGAAATTGCTCACCGATTTGGCGGCTTACATCACTGAGCATCACAAGACTGGACTTACATTCAATCCCAAGGGCGTCAGTCTCGCTGAAGCGGCAATTCGCCTTTCCGATGACCCAGAAGCGGTCCAGGCTGCCGAAAAGGCCGCTGACGATGCTACCAAGACCAAGAAAAGACAGAGTGCTGTTGGAAACACAGTGAAGGGTGGAAACGTGATGGGTATGATGGCAGAATTGGCGCAACGCCGTAATGCTGATGGATCTTCGGCTGCCACTGGTTTGAAGCAGGTAGGTTGCATTTTGGTGGTGAACTATGCCTGCAATACGTTTGGCACAATCTAACTTTTTGATACAATTACCACTTGATCGTTAGGTTAAAAAAGATCAGCAAACTTGGCGCAAGGAATTCAAGGGTGGTGAAGCTCCACCCGCTGTTGCTCCGAAGCCAAAGGCAGCACCAGTTGTGAAGAAGGCACCGCCAAAAAAGAAGGGTTTGCCCATTCTCGAATACCAAGAGCGTGGCCAAAAGTGGGTGGTCGAAAACCATACAAAGGAGAGCGTCAAGCAATACGACAACGGAATTATTACGATTGACGTCTCTGATCCGAAACAACAAGTCTACATTTACAATTGCGATGAAGTCACCATCAAGGTCAATGGCGTCAAGTTCAAGTCTCTTATTATCGATAAGTGCGAAAAGGTGAACGTTGTTTACGAGACCATTATTAGTGGATGCGAAATTGTCAACAGTAAAAAGATCGGAACACAAGTCGACGGTGTGTGTCCGGTATTCACAATCGACAAAACAGTTGGAGTTACAGTCTGGTTGAGCGAGGCAACTTGTGCTATCTCGTCTTTCAGTACCAGCTTAAGTTCGGAAATGAATGTCTCTATCCCCAATGGAGATGATCGTAAGGAAATGCCCATTCCCGAACAGTTTGTGCACAAGATCTCCAACGGCTCTCTTACAAGTCAAGTGTCTGACCTTTATCATTAGTCAAATGTTGAGCCGTTTTTAATCTGTACTTCAATGATTTCTTGGTGTTGTGTTTCTACTAGTTGTCAGCTGAACAAGCGAATCATACGTTCCTAGTACGGGGGGAGCATGATATGCTTCAATAGAACAGCTTTGTCATGCGTGATCCCATTTTCATCGCTGTCATCCACAAAATTGACCATGACAAAGCTGCCTCCACCGGTCGACTTCCTCGGAACCTGGGCAATTGTTGCTTGATAAAATGAAGTAGTATCTGGGTAGATTGCGAATACTGTCTCGCCTTTCGACAAGTTTCTCAGGCCACCCAAAATCACAACCTGGGATTGCGGAAGATCAAATACTGGATTAAATTCACGAAAGCAGTGGTGAGGTCATCCGAAAAAGACAAATACTTGGAAGAGACAGCCAAGCCTTACTCTTGTTGCTTTCCGTGTCTTCATCCGACAATCGATACATTCCAGTCGTAGGATCGTGAGTAACTACTTTAGCTAGAATCCAGTCTGGTGAGCCTGGTGTGACTTGGACTGCAGCCAGATCATTCACCTTTGCCATGCCAGGTGCCTGGAACCCTCCGTTTGCCTGCAAGTTGTGTGAGAGTAAAACAAAATGGTGGTAGTGCAACACCACACCATCGTTTTCTTACCTGTAGAGTTTTCTCGATTTGAATGAGATCCGATTCCAGACGCTTGCATACGTTATCCACCAATGCATGAGATTGTTCGGCGACTGCTACTTTTTCTGCCGTCCTTTGTAGTGCGTCTTTCTCAATCGTCTCGATGCGCTTTAGTGTGTCATGCTCATAGATATAGTCCACAAGCTCTTCTGTGGTTGGTAGCACTGTTGGTCCATCGTCATCTGTTCCTAGGACTCGAATGCTGTTTCCGTCCACGATTTCCAGCTTTTCCATTTTCCATTCTGCTCGCTCGATGTACTCCTTTTGGAGTTTTGTCATCTCCTCAAACAGCTCTGTGCATGTTTTATCTTGATCCTTCATGAGATCCAAGTTGCGGCGTAGCTCCGCTGGGAAACTTGAAATGTGATCAAGGAAAGATTCAAGGTAAGTTACATCACTTCGCATGGTAAACAATGGTACAAATATGAGTTTGCTGATCCCATCGATCGATTGTTCGACAGAATCGATCGATGCTGCACCATTTACTTTCGACTCGTTTGACTACCAGTATGTAGCCATGCGCTATGCATGTATCTGTTGCATACTGTAGTACCTGGTGTACGTGTACGTAGTAGTCCTACGTAGTTAAGTTGAATCAAGATTCTATTACGATATGAGTTATCTTTACTCCGGATGGTGTTGTATTAGTGATGATTGGTATCCCCTTCAGCGTTAATCGAAAACGGAGCAAACTGAGCGCTCAAGGCCGTCTTTCAACGGTTCTATGCTTCAAACAAAGTTGGCGCTTTGGCAAGTTGGTCACGTCGAAATCGCCCGGCGTCGTATTCAGTCCTTCGGGAATTGGAGAAGTGATCTAGCAAGTCTCTCGTTGGCTTCTTCCATGGACCAACTGAGGTAGTATCCTCGGAAAAGGATGAAACGCAACTGTACATATCATCTTGAGCTTGAATTGCTCGCGGTACGTCGCTTCGGCTCGCATCCAATTTCGAGCTTTCTTCGCGTTTTGCCTTCAGCTTTGTTTCGACTGCACGAGTGTCGATTGTGTGATGTCTTTGGAAGAGCATCGATGCCATGATGGCATTGCTTGGAAGACCCATCGGTTTTGCTACTGAGCCACCACCGCCACCGTGAGACGATCTTCCTACAGAACGGTTGCTGTGAGATATGTCGTCGTCGTCAAAACTTGAGGGAGTCACGCGTCGATTGTATATGACCCTTCCTTGAGAAGAAGCAGCAGATATAACGGAAGAAGGTACAGACGATCCCTTTGAAACGCCTTCGAAGCTTTGAATACCCATAGGTACTTCTTCTTCAAGTCGAGGTCGGAACGTTCCGACAGAGTCTGTAGAATCAAAGCTACTTACTGGCTTGCTCTCGTCCGAGAAGTCATAAAGGCCTTTGCTCCATTTTGATTCCCCACCATTCCGTGGTTCAAAGATTTGGCTTGATTTCTCTTCGTATATATCAGAAATGTTGTCAGTAGATTTGAATCCACTGTGACTGTTAGAAGAGGTATCTTGTACAAAATCGGACCATGACCCGAGGCCTGAGAAAGGGTCATTTCTCTTTTGGAAAAAAGGTTTGGCTCCGGAATTTGATGCTCTCGTTCCATTGAGCGGGCTTAACGGTGCTCGTCCATCACGAATGAATCGTTGTTGCTTCTTGGAGCCTTTTGCCTCGCATGTTCTTTTGTTGGGTGAAGCAAAGCTGTACGACTCATGCTTTGGGCTTGGACTGTAACACAGAGAAGCGACACTGGGGTTGCGAGATCGAGAGTAGGTGCTGACGTTTTCATCACTTGCTCGAAGGCTAGGGGCAGTTGAGAGGCCACTGTGTGTGTTTTCCTTAGCAGAAGCAAAGCTGTCAACGAAAACACTTTTGGTCTCTTCCTGAAAGGGTGTGAATGCTCTCTCGTAGCTTGAATTCCTGCGTCTTGATCCCGAGCATCTAGAGCTACTAATATCCTCGTCGAAGGTTCGATGTGTTGTTTCGTCATCGTCAGTGAATCCGACAGGCAGAATGACTGTAGATTCTTTGTCTTCGTCAATCGTGAACTGATGAAATTTGCTTCGTGGATTTTGGTTTTCAATGTCATTTGAAAAATGATTGAGATTGTTCATCGTAAGTGCTGCTGGTTGCGAAGAGAAAAAGTTGGTCGGGTCACTCATTGTCGTCTGTCTAGTTGCTGCACTCTGTCTAGAATCAAAGGAATGGTCCATCGACATATCAGACGAAAGTTGAAAACTTTGAGTATCAGCTCGTGCCTTCTTTTTTCTTGCAGAGTTAGTGTTTTTGTCTCGTGAGGAGGGTTGGATGTTGATACCTGCGAAATCGGTCTTCTTGTTCAATTTTCGAATCGCCTGTTTCTTCTTTGTATCGATATCTTTCTTATATCCCCCAGTCTCACTTTCGACAGAGAAAGAAAAATTGTTAATGATGGTCGGTGCGCTGAAGTCATCATCATCGTCTGCTGGCATAGCTGCAAACTTGGTCTTTCTTGGTCTCCATTGATCCTCTGGTTTGGACGTCTTGTCTCTTCGCGAGAAGATTCTTGAAGATAGCCTCTTCGCAAATCCTCTTTTGTTATAGTTTGTTTTCTTCTTCGGCATTGTCACTTTCGTTTGAAATGATTGATTCCTTTCGTCAAAAGGTTTATGGAGTTTTCGGAGATCCACCAAAATGTGGCGATGTCGCCAAACGAAACGTCGCCAAACAGAAACGACCGTTTTGTGACATAGCAGCGACACAAAAATCACAATTCAACGCACGATTCGGAAGACAAAGTCCAGCCTTGAACCGTCACTCTCGTTTTGCTTTTAGAAAAGGTACGAGGTATTTTAAAATCTACCTCCATAATGTACGACGACTGAAAGGAAAGGGGATGCTTTTGACGAATGAAGACTAAAGTTGCAGTCAACCATTACAAGAATATACTTTGACCATCGTACCAGTGGCATCCATGATTGGGGAAACAACACCAAAACGATAGCACCTGAATCAGATCCTGAGGCGAGAGGAATTTTGTGAACAGAATCGTCCCTGGCTTTGACTGGTCCTGTTATCACTCCAATTGCTACAAGTTATGTTTCAGTTTGTGTCGAAAGCTACTAGCACCGCGCAAACCAATAGTGACACAGGCTGGAAAAGTGGATGGGGGCTCAATTCACGTCCTCAGCAACAGGGATTGTTTTCAGGTCGTCAGACGCCACAAATAGTCCAAGAGAAAACGGGGTTTCTTGGTGGATTAAGCACTGGATTCCTGACACAGACATCCACACAACAAGACGGGAATACGGGGAAAGAAGATGAATACGAACGCAAAATGCGTGGAAAGAGACGGCAGGATGATCTAGAATGGTTTGCTGATTTTTTAAACGGGAAAAACCCAGGTCATCTCGACGAAGATGAACAGTACGGCAGTTTGCTCATGGGGTTGCATACTGGAGGTGCGAAACTAGACACCAAAGAGCTCAACGAACTGAAACGATTGGCTGGAAGAACACGGCAACAAGAAGAGTTAAAAGAACAAGAACGATCAAAACCTCGACAGCGGAAAAGAGCCGAAGATCTTACAGAAGAGGAACTCATGGAAATTGAGGTTCTCGATAAGCAGCGAGAAGAAGCGGAAGTGGCAGAGTACCTTGAACTTCTTGCCTTGAAAGAAAGCGGGGAAGAAGTCGACTCGGTACGACTAAAGATACTGGACCTTCTGGACAAACGAAAGTGCGACGAGGCTCTCACTGAAGAGGATAATGACCTGCTGATGTCATACGAAGATCAGGTTATGGAAACCCATTTGGATAGAATCGAGATGAAATTTCTTACGAGTTTAAAGCAAGGTGGAAAGAAATTTGATGAAGATCGCCTTAGTGAGCTAGAGTTACTCCAGCTACAACAGCATAATGTTGATTTTAATGAGGAAGAACTTAACCAATTGGATTGGTTTGACTCAAAGCGTATACGTGAAGTGCAGTGTCTCGACGAGCTGATTGTGATCCGAGAGAAGCAAGCCGCCGGTGAAGAAGTCAACGAGGAGCATTTAAAATTCTTGGAGCTGCTGAACCGAAAGGTTAACGGGGAACTGCTGGAAGGTTCTGAGCTCGATCAAATAGCATTTCACGAGAAGCAGTGGAAAAAAGAGAGCCGAGAGCAAGCAGCAAATGAGGCGACAGCTGCAAATCCAATACAAGCTGAGGACGTTGATAATCGCATACTGTCTCCTAAAAGTGGAAAAACAAACGTCACTCTAGAGAGCAAGGACCTGAGACGAATTGGATTGCCTCCAAATATTGAAGTATCGTCAATCAGTAGTTTCGACCACAGCGCTGCTAGCATAGGTGGCTTGTCGGGGGGGTCGTATGTCGAGGACCTCACGGCACAGAGAAACTTGCGCTATGAATTGAGGGAGGAGCAAACTTTCGATGAAGCACTCTATCTTTACGAGACTAAGCTCCGTGAAACCAACCAACCCGAAAGCGAGCAGCTCTTTTCACAAATATATCACGAGATGCAGGTAAAGAGCAGCAAGAAGCACGAACAAGATGATAAGATCGCCGATGAATATCTCAAAGAAGCAGCAAAGGCCTATGAAGTCCAACGCAAGCATCTAAAGGCAGAGAGGAGTGCCTTCAAGGCACAGAAACAAAAGTTTGTATCGAGCTTGGAGGAAGAAACGGATACTGAGACAGCCAAGGAGAAATTTTTATCTAACATTCCAAAAGATACGTTGAGGGTAGAGTCTGAATCCTCCACTTCGAACGCTCTTATGGCTCGCTGGGCTTCGACCCCTGGAATTATTACCCCAAATCGATCGAATGACGTTCCGGCTCCAGAAGAAAGCCGAGCAGAAGAAGATGTAGATCGCAAGGAATCGAAAGATTTCTTGAATAGTCTCGATAAAGGAAAAGAGAACGATGAAGATCGGCTTTATAGACTTGGACTGTTTGAGCGCTATGGACTCGGCGAGTCTATGACAAGCAATGAATTGGAGGATTTGCGCTACCTCAAGAGTGAAAAGGAAAAAGAACGTCATAAGATTGACTCAAATTTGGACCATCGAACGACAAAGGGCTCAAGAAATGAAGCAAGACAACCCAGTGTAGCTTTGAACGGCAGTCTGCGTGTTAATGATTTTACACCTGTCCCGGTGAACTCAGAGGAAATTGATTGGACCCAAGAGAATATACGGACGATGGACTCTATCCAGGTGGAATCAGTGGGAAAATCGATTGATAGAAACCATGAGAGCAAGGATACTAAAAACGAAAACTATGCGGATGCTGAGGAGCTGCAGGAATTACTGCATAAGTTTGAGCAAGGCGAGGATATTGACGAGGACAGGCTCTACGAGCTCATGCTCTTGGAGCGGCATCGAATGGGTGAATCGTTAACGAGTGACGAGCGTGAGGGTCTCAAAAGTCTTCTACACGGGGGAGAAGAAGAGAATAGTTCAGCTTCACAGCACAGCAAATTGCATAAGTTGAACGATGTTCCATCGGTGCCTTCAGAGCCTGGTGTAATTTCTCCGGCTCACAGGAATGTAAAGGAGCTGGATTCTTCTCAGATTGATTTGATGGAAACATCGATTGAAGGAAATCACGACAGAACAGATAGTAGAAAGGAGATTGACCGCTCGAACCAAACCGAGATGAATAATACGGATTCTGAGGAGCTTCAGGATTTATTGGACAGGCTCGAGAGAGGCGAGGATATTGACGAAGACAGGCTGTACGAGCTCGAGCTGTTGGAGCGGCATCGAATGGGAGAATCGTTAACAAGTGTCGAGCGTGAAGATCTCGAGGTTCTTTTTCAGGAACGAAATGAAGAGGACAGTTTAGATTCTCGTCCCATCAAATCGTCAAAGATGGATGATGTTCCGTCGGTACTAACAGAATCTGACGCGATAGCGGTTGCCAAGATCGGAACGGAATCGATTGAGACATCGATTAATGAAAACCACGGGAACAAGGATAGAAAGACAGACTTCAACGGCTCGAGCAATACGAAGACAAACGGTGCGGATGCTGAGGAGCTACAGGAATTACTGCATAAGTTTGAGCAAGGCGAAGATATTGACGAGGACAGGCTCTACGAGCTCATGCATCGAATGGGTGAATCATTAACAAGTGACAAGCGTGAAGGTCTCAAAAGGCTTCTACACGGGGCAGAGGAAAAGAAGAGTTCAGCTTCACAGCACAGAAAATTGCAGAAGTTAGACGATTTCCTATCGATACCTTCAGAGTCCGATGCACGGTCTACCAACCATACATCTGTAGTCGAGCCACCACAGGCCGGATTGATGGAAACATCAAAGGTGGTCGATACATCGTCGTTACTCGAAGAATCTGTTGCGACATCGGCTGTCCAGACAAGTACAATGGATCCTGTTCTTCCTGAGAATGAAGTAAGAGATACATCCATTGAAGGAAACGACGACAAAGCGGATATGAGGATCGAGATGGACAGCTCAAGCCACGCTCCTCAAGCTAATTCGGATTCTGAGGAGCTCCAGGATTTATTGGACAGGCTCGAGAGAGGCGAGGACATAGATGAGGACAGGCTGTACGAGCTGGAGCTGTTGGAGCGGCATCGAATGGGAGAATCCTTAAC